AGAAGCAAACATACACAGACAAAGCCACAATGTGAGAATCTGAGTTTCAAATAGAGCAGCATACAATAATAATAATAATAATGAAATTAATAAAAATAATGATAATAATAATAGTTTAATTAATTCAATATAAGATATAAGTTTCATCAACTGAGTTTTTGGTCCAAAGATGTCAACGTCCCTACAAACAACATTAGCAGCAGAAACGCAACTTTTACTAACAGAACAGACGTTGAACATAGGAAAGTCTCAGATATATCGAACAGGGACCCAAAGGCCAACAATTTCCAAAGCAGAAAGGCAAAGGACAGAACCACGATAAACCTGAATAAGGAAGAGCACATCAAGATGATATCTCCTCTTTTGCAAGGTGTGCAATTTCAATTGTTCCAAAGCAAAATCGTAACAGTAAACAACATTAGCAGCTGCTGCACATCTAGCAGAGGGCCAATTTTTACATAAGGAGCAAACACTGAATAAAGCAAAGTCTCTGATATACCAAGCAGGAACTTGGAGACCAACAATTTCAGGAACAGAAGGGCAGAATTTCAAACCAAAGTAAAATTGAGTAAGAAAGAGAGCATCGAGGTGATGTCTCCTAGTACGTAAAGTATGCAATTTTAACTACTCCGGAGCAAGAGAATAACTGTAATGGACTTGAGGGTAGAAATGATTAAAACAAAGGGCCGCAAACCTCTGCCGGATGCATTCCAGCTTGTTGGCATCAGTTGACATAATCGAATTCCACTCTACAGATGCATATTCAAGCTTAGATCTAACTAATGCAGTGTACAATCTGAGCATACAGTCTAGAGATGAGAAATTGAAAGTAATGTTACGAACTAGACCCAACACTTTAACACAGTGAGAGAAAATATAATTTACATGGTCATGGAAATATAGTTTAGCATCAATAAACACTCCGAGGTCTTTTATAGAATCAGTCTGGGCTATGGACGATTGACAAAGTTTATATTTGTAGATAAGTACATTGGTTTTCCTGGGGATATAACTTTAGTTTTACTGATGTTGAGTTTCATACAATTAGCAATGCACCAACCTTGTACAGAGTTAATGTCAGACTGAAATAGATTCATATTCATATTCATATTTATTTGCATTCATACTGTTACAGCTGCAACACTTGAACAAGTCAACTCACTAAATACATCATTGTTAAGAGCTCTAAAATCCTAGAATGTATTAGACTAAAAATAAAACTGTACTTGCCTTACAACATCACTAAAAATTTTAAAAATATAACAATAACTACTACAATTCCCTTTTCTTCTCTTTTTTTGTTAATTAAAAAAACCTTGCTATGCTTTCTCATGTCCCTGTTGAAGAAACTCATTCAATGTATAGAAAGGACGATCAAATAAAAATAATTTTAATTTATGTTTAAATTCGTTACATCCCTTTGACTTTTTAACTTCCAAAGGAAGTATATTATATAATTTAATGCCCATATTGATAACACTTTTCTTAAAAACTGATGTGTTACATTGTTGTACATGAAGATCATCTTTCCTCCTAGTATTATACTCGTATAAATCAGATAGCAGTCCTGAGGAGAATTAATGGCTAGGTATATTCTGATATCGTCAGCAAATAGTAGACACTTAGAGTGGATAACTGCATCACATATGTCATTAATAAACATATTGAAGAAAAGGGGTCCCAAGACAGATCCCTGAGGAACACCGAAGAGAACTTCAAAAGGCAAGGAAAGAACCTCAGACACACAGACCTGTGATTTCTGGTTGTATAAGTCATTGCAAAACCAGTTTACATAGCCACTAGAAATTCCTATAGCATTAAGTTTATGAAGAACAAGAGAATGTGAGATGTGGTCAGATGCATTGCTCTGATCAAAATAAATGGCATCAGCTCACCTCTGGGAGCCGACTATAGGGGAAATAATATCAACGTAAGTTACCAAATTGGTACTTGTGGATTTAGTTTTTGAAAAGCCGTTCTGATAAGGGCTAATTTTAGATTTTAGATAATGGGAAACATGGTCATGAATAAATTCAAATATTTTAGAAAAATTACTCAGTAGGGATATAGGCCTATCCGAATAACTCTACAATAAATCAGGCGAACCATTAAAAGTGCTCATAAGCCGACGAAAAAACTGACCTCCCTTCATATACAAGCAACTGTAGTTGTTTACCTTAAGACATGTAAAAATAATTAATTATCTAAAATGAAACAGCAGCAAATGCTAACTACCCTAAACATGCACCCAAATCAGGGAAGCTGTATATACTCACATCTTCAAAAATAGAACCCACATTTGCAGTAACCAACAATACTGGTGGACTTCTCCCCGCCATAATTCTCAGCTCTAATTTTAACTCTGGCAGTGCATTTCACAGGGCCTGGGGCTCTTATTTTTCAGAACACTCCTTACGCTGCACTACTCCGTCACATACTCATAGAACACTTCAGCAACAAAGACTCTCTTTACTTTTTCGAATATGCGTCGCGACACAATTTCTCCGCTTTAAAGCTCCTATGAATCCTAGGCGGTCTTCGAGCTCTTCGGTGCTTCGGCGCTACAAGCCACGCCTACTGTAACAGACGTCAATGGGAATATCGAAAACGTGAAGACAGCGAGACATTTTCCGAGCGGAAGGGATCGAATTCTCACGCATATTGATAATAAGAAATTATTTTCATCTGCATTATATCATAACATTTCAAATCGGATGCATAAGGTAATTTTATAACTTCATGCAACAGAAATTATTCCAATTTATCCCGTCAGAATATATCAACTTTCCGTTCTACAACCTTTCATAGAATTTTATGCTTTATGGTTCCTCTAGGTGCTCTAGGTGCTCTAGGTTGCCAACATTCTAAATAACAAGTGATAACAACAATGTACCAAATTTTTGGCTAAGCAGTCATTTCTACAAATGAGAAACAAGTTAATTCCTATAAAGGAGCAGATAGGGCATTCTAGTTTTCTCTCTTATGAATCTACCCATTAAAATATAAAAGTGCCACAATCTGAAGAAGAAGGAAAGCAACTGTTGTGGCACCTCCATTTCTTGGTAATGAAAGACTTTACACATCAAGGAAATCCGTAAGCATCAGCGTGAATGAAGATTGCTGTCTGCTCAGATGTAAATTCTGTATAGCTTGATTGCAGACGTTTCGGAGCGGGCGCCCCACAATAACAAGCCCTAAACTGTCAAACAGTAATAAATATCTGGTCATGAGCCCACATTGGGCTCGACACCAAGATCGCCGAGATTGACTGACTGGCTGTGATTTGCGTATTCGGCAGAACAGAAGTCGGTCAGTCACTCGAATGCACTCGAAGGAGTTAAAGAGTTCGTCAGTTCTCAGTCAGTATTCGGGAGTATTTGAGTGTTTAAGAAACTGTAAGAGTGGGGGAGACGAGGAATGCGTATAGGATATTGGTGGGAAAGCCAGAAGAAAGGAGACCACAGGGAAGACCAAGGGATAGGTGGGTGGACAATATTAAAATGGATCTTAGAAAGATAGGATGAGATGGTATTGTTTGGATTGATCTGGCTCAGGATAGGGACCAGTGGAGGGCTCTTGTGAACACGGTAATGAACTTTCGGGTGCCATAAATTGCTGGGAAATTCTTGAGTAGCTGCAGAATTGGCGGCTCCTCCAGAAGGGCTCAGCTCCATGAGTAAGTAAGTAAGTAAGCGGCCTCCTTAGTCTAGAGGTAACGTTCCCACCTCAAGACTCGTGGTACGCGGGTTCAAATACCCGGCGGAGGTCGTCGAATTTTTAAGGGCGGAAAAATTCAGGGAACAAGTCCTCCGGGAGGGACTTTAAGCTGTGTGTCCCGTGTCGTAACTTTAAAGAACCTCATATCTCCAAAGGGGATCACTGAGCCAAATTCCAGGACGTTTCCCGCCCAACTATAGTCTCTAAGGCCTCTGATAGATGGGGGAAGCATTATAGACACCGCTAAGCAAGTGGCCGAACTCGCTTGCTCGGCGGGACTGATGGTACGCACCATTTATCGGTAGGGTAAAGAGACTGGTAGAATATCATAGAGGGAAGCACAATAGATCAAACTGGTCGCGGTGCATGGGGAAACCCACCCTCTCTAAATAACTAAATAAAACTAAAAAAGTAAGTAAGTAAGTGTGACAGCAACGGAAAGTTCGTCGTGAGAGGATTAGCATGTAGCGATTGTGAATTGTGTAAATCAGAAAGAGTGTTATAATTAATTATAGTTATGACTTGTAGGTTGATAATAGAACCAATTAACAATCCGAACGGCGTCCACAGTAGCCCAAACACGCTACAGTACACTTGGTTGCAAAGCCAACTGAACATGGCACAGATGTTGGTATCCCACTCGCTAATTACTAATGCAGGGATTTTAGGAGAGATCCGTGGTAGTAGGTGGTTTGGTAGGTGATGAGAAAACTGAACCGTGGTAATTAAGCAATGGCATGGTTGGGTAAAATTGGTCGCCAAGTTACTCAGAGATATTTGCCTACTGGAATTATGAGATATGAGTTTAAGTTTCCAGAGAGGTACAGAGACACGTTCATTGAAAAATGGGGTAAGTGTATTTCAGTAGCATAACAGTTATAGTAGATAGTGTCTGAAGTGGGCTTGAATGGTTGTAACTAATGCCTTTATGGTCATGTTCACCCCTGGGATGGTCTAGCCTAAAAGTGTGCACTTGTTGATCTTGAGAAAATAGCTTGTTTATTTTTTTAGTCGCTTACATTTTGACTGATTTATTACTTAGGATTGTAATATAGCAGTGACAGTTCTGACCACTGGGTTGTGACACCGTCTAGTCTGGTGTATATGTACCAACGGTTCGGAGAAACGAATCCTGAAAATGGAGGCAGTAGATTCTTCCCAGCCTTTGATATATGACATGTCAACACATTGCAGGAGACCGTAATCATAATATTCGCTGCCGTGGGTACCTGAGAATCACAATTGAGTTGCAGTTACATTGTAATTTTGTACGATGTAGGTTAGAGTTCATGTATTGGGTCTAGTAAAACAAATATTCAAATTAGACGAGCTGGGGTGGGGAATGGTGCTAGGGTTGCTTCACCCTTCCCAGATTTCTAATAGAGGTGATTCAGCAACGTAAACACACTTTCAGATGAGCTTCAATTAACTGAGACACAAAGCTCTCAGATGCATTGTATTAGCCATGTTTTCGTAAATTTGAAAGTTTGATTTTGTACTGGCTTTTAGAATATGTGGTAAAAATGTAATTATGCAGCTGGAAGTACCCAGATAGTTGTATTTCAAATTTTTATGTGATTTTCCAAAGATCTGTGGTATTAGTTTTATTTTTCTCAAAATACTGAAATGCCTTTTCATAATTTTTCTAGCAAACTACTGGAAAAATCTATGCATAGACTACAAGGAGGTTGCTGTTGAAACAGTTGAAAGTGCACGTCAGAAACCAGTAAAAGCTCTGCTTATTTGTAGTGGTAAGTTTTTTCTAACCCAGCTTCTAGGAACCTGATTTAGTAACAGTCATTTTATCATGAAAAGTTACTGCTTAAGGGGGCATCAGCACATGGAACAGTTCCCTGGGATGCCTTGTCAGAATTTAAGAGCATTTAAACAATTTTTCAGTGGCATAAAATTGACAGAACAAAGGTGACACAATGATATATTTCATTCATGTTGCAGAAAGGTGTATATATATAGTACATGAATGGTACTTTGCTTTATTTTTGCAAATTGTCATTCACAGAGTGTTAACTTCCACCCACTCCACTTCTTAAAAACTGTCTGCACATGATGATAATCTATGAGATACACTGAATGGTACCTCCTCGCATGTTATGCATGTAATAAGATAGTGAGCCATACTGAGGCAAAATGAACCAGTCTAAGGAGTGATGCTGACATAGTGAACAAGAAGCTAAAGTAGTGCAGTCCAAGTACTGCCACTTCATAGTTTGGTGTGGGTGGTTTGATCCTGATTAGATTAGATTAACATCATGTAATTTATATTGTACATTCTCACAGACAGTGCAGTCAGGTGGTTAGCTGTGTATTCAGAAGGTACCAGGTTGAATTTGTAACCCAGCAGTTGGCCATCCTCATGGAGATGTGTTATGTTTTTTTTTTTTAGTTCTATGCTACCACCATGACCACTCTTCCATATCTTGCTTCTTCATTGACACTACATAAATTGAGCAGTCAGAAAAGTGTCATAGAAATAAAATTAGAATCAGTCCATCAAGAATATTTTGTGAAGTTTAATTTTTTCCATGAGGGTCTTCTGTCTAAGCAGGGCTCATGGTTAGCTTTTTCATGTTCATTAAATGTACTATGGGTGTGAAACTTTGTTTCTGACATTAAGAGGGTAATAGACAGGATGTTTAAGAAGAATATTTGGACCAAAGAGAGATGAAGTGATGGGAGGCTGGGGGAAACTGCACAATGAGCTTCATAGCTTGTACCTTTTGCCAAGTGTAATTAGAATGATCAAGTCAAGGAGGATGAGATGGGCAGGGAATGTAGCACAATTGAGGGAAAAGAGGAATGCATACAGGATATGGTGGAAAAGCCAGAAGGAAAGAGACCACTAGGAAGACCAAGCTGTAGGTGGGTGAACAATATTAAAATGGATCTTAGAGAGATAGGATGTGATGGTATGGGCTTTATTGATGTGGCTCAGGATAGGGACCAGTGGAGGGCTCTTGTGAACATGATGACGAACCTTCAGGTTCCATAAAATGCTGGGAGGTTCTTGAGTGGCTGCACAATTGGCAACTTCTCAAGACGGGCTCTGCTTCATGAAATTAGAATTATATGACATCCATCTGTATCCAAAATTAATCAGCCTACATCACTTGTGAGTACTTCAATACAAATTTGTTACAAAAACAATTAAATCTGACTAATCACACATTTTGGTGGTATCTGTTTACTTTGGGATGAGAAAGGAGGTAAAGGATTGCTATGTACAATTGCTGGCTGGGCCCAAAGCATGCTAAACATGTTTCTGGTTTTTAGGAGAGCAGTGTGAAGAACTGTTACTTCACTTGTCTTTAAAAGGAAATCTTGGATAAATTTCAGTGTATACAAGCCCTTAGGCTGCACATGAACTATTGAACTATCAACATTTGATACTGAAGTACTGTCAGAAAATTTGCACTAACAACTGACGCACACAAACTATATTCTCTACACAAACCAATAACCGGAATAAATGTATATCTGTTAACGGATTAAGTGTTTGTTTCCCCTTTACAGAAAGGTGCCTTCTTAAGTGGGTGAGGTTTGATATGTTTCAAGTTGACAAAAATAAACCTTTAATAAAGTGAAAAGACAGTGTTAAATTTCACATATGGAAGCTATATGTACTGGTGTATATTGACTGTTGAATTTCTTAACTTTCACTCTTATCAGTGGATTTTTTATTATTTGTGTTTTATGAGAAAAACCAGTCTAGATATCATGTACTCTTGTTTTCCACCAGAAAAAAAGGCCTTCTCACAGCCAGAGGTTCAATTTTGTGGATATTCTATATAGGTCTTAGAGTTTTGTAACAGTCTCTTTTCATTTTACAGGGCTGGCTTTCATAGCTTACTGTGCACACAGCAATCCAGATGAACAGAATTTTCGTGACAAATTCCTCTTTCATACAAATGAAATGATACTGGTTGGAGAGCCAATTCGTAACCCACAGGCTGTTAGTCACCTCAAGTTCCTTGAAACGTGTTATAACAAGGGTGTAATACGGACACTTGGTCTTGGGATCATTAACTTTATGTGGATCAGTGATTATGATAAGTCATCTGGGCTTTATCAAGCACATTGTGAATACTTAGAACCAAAGTTTTTAACTTTTCATAAACGAATAGTTGATATTGGGTTCCTTGGACAGTGGTGGATTCTGCAAAGAACTATGAAAGACTTTGATATTAATCCCTCAGAATTTGAAAACTTGCAAAATACTTAAGTGTGAGTAGTTGTGATTTTGTTTGAGGTAGGAGAAGTATAAATATTGTTATTTTTTACTAAAAATTGTCTTATTATGTATAAGTTCTCTTGTGGGGGGGGGAGGTGGTGATGTTTCACACCATTTTTTCCTTATGGGGACATGGGTGTTGTCTGAGTGTATGTTGTTGGTATCAGTGGTTGAAATAGGGATGTTTCTAATCTTTGTCCTCTTATGTAGATATTGATGTTACACAGTTGATGGCCATGTGTCGCATTCTTATACGCTATATTTTTAGCATAATGGAGTTTGTTTCTGGTTCTTTTTGTTTTGGTATGACTTAGTTGATTCTGATGTTGTGATGGTTATGCTATTGAGAATGAACACTTTAGTATCCTAATAAACTAAACTTATTTATCAACAGACATATTTACATATTAGTGACACACACAACAGGATGATAAACGTGGGAATGAATATAGCAGCATGTCATAAATGAGTATCAGAACATGAATCTTCTGGATTCAGGGACTGTTTTCCAGATTTGTGAACTAGAACATTTCAGATCGAAGTTGAACACAGGAAGAATGTGTTTATCTATATTCTGTAAGGAAGCTAAAACAAACAGTTCATAAGACATGACATTTTATCATTTTCAACTTCCAGTTTTCTGCCTTTCCCTAACTTATATTTTTTTTATACTTTCATATATCTGTAAACCCAGATGTAAAAGGTTTTTGTGACTCTACTGTTGGATTCGTTATGAACAAAAGGATATTTCACAAGGGTACATACACATAGTTTTCCCCATTCTTTCTGACAGCTTCAAGAACTTAACAGCTAATCAGAAATTCAGATAAATCACATCCACAAAATCAAACTGTTGCTTTACAGTGCAGTTAATAGTAGTTTTATCTGTATGTCATAAAATTCAAAGAATAACATAAAAAAATATTTTTTTTTAAACCAAATGGGTATGATGAGCAGATGAGGGATACTACATAATCACATTCTGTAATCTATACAAATCAGCTGGTGGTGTTCCAGCAGTGAAATATAAGTTGTTAAGCTGTACATGCAGATCATATGGAGGTGGTGTGAAATATACAAAAAAACTTTGATGGATTCAGCCACTTGAAAAACTGAGGAGGTGGGTACAATTGGCTTAAGATCATGCCTAATGTTGGAATGTAATGTTAGTGTTAAATCTCCATGTACTACCAGAGAAGTAGGTGTTACCCATCATTATTAATAGCAGCCAGAGCAACGTCAGGGGCACACGGGTTCCAATCCTAATGTCATTGGATTTTTTTTCAATTGACCTAATCCTTCCGGCCGCACTATGGCCCTGGGGTTCACTCAGCCTCTAACAGAAATGAGTACCAGGAATTAAAGAAATAATTTTCCTGGGGAGTACAGCGTGGCCGGCGCGTAAGGCTGACAATCTTACTGCCATCTTTGAGCTGATTGTCTAGATAATGTGGGATCCTCAACGTCTCACAACCCTATGGGCTTTCATGGCCTGTTACAGGGATACCTTTACTTTTTTACAGAGCAACATCATTTGATAGGTAAAGTAACAAATGTTTCATTGTGATAGTTGGCGGTTTTCCTTTGTATCCCATTTCAAAACTTGATTGGGAAACCAGCTAGCAAGCATGTTTCTCATGATTTTCCTCAGGCCCTCCATGAAACATGTCATTCATACTTATTCTTTAATTTTCCAACGTTTCAGTTGAGTGCCATTAAAATACATTTTGATGTTCCCATTCAGGTATTCATTGTAATTTCTCAAGAAAAACTTGATAAATTTTCACTGCTCACAGATGTGATGGTTAAACAAATTTATTATTGAAACTTGCATGATTCAAAGGCTGTATGTAAAGATCCAGATGTCAGTTCTACTGAATATGACAGTAAGTCTGCTATATTTAGTTTCCAAATTTTTACCACTTCTAACCATATAACTATTTCAGAAGCATATACCACCTCATTGCCAATGTGTCTGTGTTCATTGTGTTCTATTAGTCCAAGTCCGATCTGTGCTGCTGGAAATTTTCTTACAGTACAAATAATTCTTCTGTTCTGTCACAGTGAATTAATTTTTCACTGACTTGGGAGTGGAAAGGGTTAATTTTGTAATTCTATATGGATGTCTGTTAGCACCTGCTTACACTGGTTCCTTGCTCGCGGATTTTCTTCTTTTTTCTTCTACCCTGTAGGTGGAGGTGGAGGCGATAGGTTCCTCTGAAACATCGGTTAACAAAGTATCTACATGGCGCCACATCCCAAAAGACTGCTTTCAAAAAATCAATGCAATAAAACTCTTTTTAGTTCTCTATTTAAAAGAACAGATTTCCTCACTTTCCTTGGGCAATTTGATTTTCTGAGCAGAAATTCACAGCATTTAAATTGATGGACTCTGTTTCAACCTTTATAATTCTTTATGTTAATATTTTGGCAGTATTTTTCCAGCTACTTTCTCTCATGCCATCAGTAGAAGTGGTCAGGTAAAGGAGTGATGAAAAATGTCTTAGTGACCATGTGATTAGAAAAGGAGGTGCTGAAAATAGTACCAAAAGAAGAATCTACAGCATTTACTGAAGATGTTAAGAAATTTTAAGAGGAATATTTTGTGAACAGATGCTGAGAGTTATGTTTATCAATTAAACTTTGTGGAATTGTTCTCAGTATTCTGCAGCACAAAGATGACTCAGCAGGCAGTGTTCAAATAAATTACACAATTCCATACAGTTGATATGTGAATATTTATGAAGGAATTATGTTATTAATTACGCAACAGATAAGGTCTACATAACACACAAGTTCAAGACTTTTACTGATTTCACTGCTTAGAAACTTTGAAGTACTCTGAATGGTTTTGAAGATTATAAAGGAAAATAAATTTGTGCTTTGAAAATGCATCAGATTAAAGGCTTCTTTTTATGAAAGGTCCTGATTTTGTTTCAAGTGATGTGACTAATTCTTATGAAAGAAAATTTTGGACTGAATGAAAGACTTCAAAGTTCTTATTTCTGTTATCAAGGAAACTTGCCACATGAACTGAAGTTTATTACAAATCTTGAGGTAATTGTTAGGGGAAAATATGAGTATATAAATATTACCTGAAGTTAAATAAAAGGACACAAATGAGTGATGCAGCATTAGGTAATATACTGATTATAATAAGCTGTCTTTCCTTTTGCTACTATACAGCATGGGTTATTATGCTACCTTTTCCTGATTCTGACCATGCCATCAATCAACAGTTCCCACCTGTTCGTTATGCACTGTTAGTTCCTGCTTCCATAGGTCTGGCTTTCATTGGTACTTTGGTTGTGTTCACAGTGTGCCCTATCCAGTGTGCAACAGATCCTCATGAATGAAACTGTAATCTGCATCTCTGAACAAACACAACAAAGAACAACTTATTTGTTAAGAAACTGTAAGAGTTACTGAGAGAATATGCAACTAGTTTAAGGAGACTACGTGAGAAGTAGTTTCTAAAATTCAATATAATAGTTTTCTTCCCACTCTAAGAGAGAATGGACATGTTAAGAACTCTCTTATAAAGTTTAATCAATGCAGCATCTGTGATTTTATCTATGATATATGACATTCCCCTGTGAATGAATTATCAATAATTTAATATATTTTTGTTTGTGCTCATTATGCTCACTGTTTGAAGTACATTCCTTTAGCATTTAAATATTTCTACCAGGATAATAAGTGTATATTTTAAAAAGGAAAGTAATATTATCTGTTAGAATAGGAGAGGTTTATTGAACAATTCAGAGCTTTTTTTGAGTATATATATATATATATATATATATGAGACAGCTGTGCGTTAGAAATACACTGAAGATAAATATGTGGCTTATAGTTGGGGTGTCAGGTGCTACATGCAGTGGCAAATCAACAGTAGCACAGTCTCTGCATAAACAACTACCTGGTTCATTTTTGGTATGTCAGGATGACTTCTTTCTGCCTGTAGATAGCCAGCAACATACTCTGATCCCAGCCTTGAACCATATTAATTGGGAAATCATGACAAGCCTGGATATGGAAAAAATGCATGCTGTTATTGAAAACTGTCTTTTCTCTGACAGTGCTAAAACTGTTTTACCTATCACCAGCTTAGTAGAGGCTGTTAACAGGGTGGCAGGGTCACCTCTCCATGCAGAAAGTGATAAAATTGGAACAGCTCTTAATATCAATACTGGATGCCACAGAGCAATACCAGAAGATATGGTACAGTTCAAACCAGATGGCACTCAATCAATGGCAACATGTGAAATAGACACTGACAACATATCATCAAAAACAAAGATGGCAGATGGCCATGGTGACAAGCAAATATTGGGCGTTCGTATTCTCATTATCGAAGGATTTCTCATTTTCAATGACAAGAAAATAGCTGACTTGTGCCACTGTAAGTACTTCTTAACTCTCACCAGAGAGCAATGCTGGGCAAGACGAAGTGTCAGGCCATATGATCCTCCAGATGTACCAGGCTACTTTGATCAGTGTATATGGCCTGAATATGAGAAACATCGTGATGAAGTTTTCAAACAAGTACCAAATGTTATTGTCATAGATGGAAATCAGAACAGAACCAGTGTATTGAAACAGGTTCTACTAGGTATTACTCAAAGAGCTCATGAGTTGCTTCAATTACAGAAAAGTTGATGGCTAAATTATGTAGCTGTTCTACTCTGGATGAACAGATATTGATGAAGTTTGGTGTTTTAGAATTGTTACTGAAATTCAACAACCAAAGCAAATTTAGTCTAATATGATAAAAACTGTCATATAAATGTCCAAATACATTTTTTCAGATTAGTATTTACCAGAATATAACACAATCCTCCTCCTAAAAATTTAAATTAATGTAAAAGCAATATGTTTTAAAATCAAAAGAGAATGAATGAATATGTTCCATTACACAGCAAAAGAGAGAAATATACAAAAACTGTAGAGAAACATCATATCACATAAATGGGAAATATGGCGGTATTATTAAACTACAAACACGTGTATCAATCAGGACAAAAAGAAAAAAAGAAAGAAAGAAAAAAGGAAATGTTAATCCAAAAGCAGAATATGGTCACTGCAAACTGTGACAGCAGTAGGACTCTATACCTGAGGTTATTTTAGAATTAACAGACATTAGTTTCTTGTCAACTTTATGCAGAAAGACAAATGATTTCATATGATGCATTTAAGATAATGGAAATCATTTGTGCTTTGGGTTAGAAAGTCGTATTTATAGCTCTGTGAAGGATGTCTAAGTTTCACTGAAGATACGTAGTATATTAGAAACATGTTTGGTGTGAGTTGTATTTTTATGGATTCATGCAGTGTATTGGTTTTCCAGTTATAATACCAAGACAAATTTTTTAGAGTCACAATTTAATGCAGTATAATTTGACATAACATATCTAATTTTGCCCTTTCAGACTGAGATTTTTCTAAATAATATACAAGAATTCAGTTTATACCTGGCAAGAAACACATTACGTCTCTGCTACAAAGCCCAATCAGTTAATGTAGTTTAGGGAAACTATTGCTGTTTATTGCAACAATCCTATGAAACACTAATACACTCTGTGGATAGAATGCAAAGTTTTAGTATGTTAGAGCAAATGGTATATATAGTAACAACTGAGCTTGAAAGGGTTAACCATCTACATCAGCCCATGCCATGGAGAGCAACACTGCCCATTCTGTAACCATGCGAGTGCTCTGGGCTACTGGTAAACATTCATCTTAATCATGTCTATTGAAACCTGCATTTAACGTTCTTTGGGCAGCAGTGAATTTGAACATTAAATGAAGGAAAATCTTAAAACTGTGGAATATAAAATGCGGGTTCCACTGTATTTTCATTCACTTGTAATTATAAGGTGACACTTCTTTTATTCAGGAAAATATGATCACATATAAACTGACGGCTAAGGATTGGGATTTATAGTGATCAGCATGAACTGAATTCCATTAGTGAGAAGTGACAAGACAATGAACTGGCACAGTATCACATTCCATGCATAAATTCTTGTTCCCCATTAAAACTTTAGAGAAAAAATGTTACAAAGAATGCTCCTTAAAATTCTTGTTAAGAAATGTACTGTTTTAACATAAAAAACAAGTATACACAAATACATATTTACCTATATTATATATTGGGATGGGGGGCATGCAGTAGCGTAGTTGGTTAAGGGACTATGCTACAAGCTGGAAGGTCGCGGGTTCAAGTCCTGATGAGATCATTGGATTTTTTCAATTGACCTAATCCTTCCGGCCGCACTGTGGCCCTGGGGTCGACTCAGCCTCTAACAGAAATGAGTACCAGGAATTAATTAAATAATTTTCCTGGGGAGTAAAGGCGGCCAGCGCATAAGGCTGACAACCTTACTGCCATCTTTCAGATGATTGTCTAGATAATGTGGGACCCTCAGTGTCTCACAACCCTATGGGCCTTCACAGCCTCGTACAGGGATAGCTTTACTTTATTTTTACATATATTGAGATTGTTATAATACTGTTATTTCCAGCAACTGATATTAATGGCAGAATTTTCATTCTTTAAAAGTTTGTCACTGTAACTGCCTGTGTCCACTGCTTTGTATAAGTCTGTTGGTAATAAAGTTATATTTTGATTGTATTTTTAATCTATTCTTATGAACATATTTTTATCTAATATGAAGTAAACAAGCAATTTAGGGAATTATGCATTAAGGAACTTCATGATTTAAACAGTCAATTAACATTTTTTAGACAAGTGAAATCAAACAGAACACAGGTCAAACAAAGGCCACAAGAAATACATATTGAATTTTGGTGGTGAAACTGTTTGGAAAGCAGCAGTTTGCTGAGATGGTAGGATAACATTATAATAAATCTTTGGGAAATAGGCTGTGGGTATGGGAGATGGAATTATCTCTTGCCTTTACGCAAGCATCCACTTTTTACAAACTGTCGGTACCATCTCCTTGTTATTCTTGTGTGGTGCGTCATTTTGAAACCATGCACGAAATTCGTGCTGCACTGTAATCACAAATTTGGACAGCTCAAAACAGAGCACACAGAAAGCCTCCTGCTGCAATGCCATCTTTGAAACTGGCCCTGCAGCTAGGCAGTAAGCATGAGAAGAAAACTGCTGGTAGCACATAAGAAACTTCGACAGTTGCCACTGCTGACAGTGTATATTGTGCCCGGGTAAGCTGAGAAATAAATTTCTTATTAACTTATTTCTTATTAACTGCCCCATTCTTTTGTGTATACCCTGTGTTTCACTAAAAGAGGCATCCCAGCATATGTAACAGAAGTTTATATTATATTAATCCTTCTGTTAGAAGCCACCAATTATGCAGCTATTCAAGAACTTCCCAGCATTTTATGGAACCTGAAAGTTCATTACCACGTTCACAGGAGCCCTCCACTGGTCCCTTTCTTGAGCCAGATCAATCCAATCCATACCATTCCATCTTATCTAAGATCCATGTTAATATTGTTCACCCACCTCATCCTCCTTGACTTGATCATTCTAGTTATACTTGGAGAAGAGTACATCATATTAATACAGGAATATTACAAATAACAATATCCATAGAGAATTTAATTAACTGCTTTAGAAGAAAGTGAAAAGTGGCAAGAGTTACTGCAGAGGATGGAGCTGAAGATGCCTACTGACTACATGTCATCACATCTTCACAGTCACTGATATGAGAACCTCATATGTCATGAGGATGGAGATATTCAAGAAGCAGAAGCAGGTTTAAATAAGAATGCTTAATGTTGATACCGGGTATGAGACTATACGGCGTGAACTTTTCCCTCTGAAAAGCAGTAAATAACTTAATATAGTATACACAGTGGTTTAGCTTCCAACAAAGTGAATAGTAATTCTGAAATACAGTATTTTTAATGGTGAGCTTTAATATACAAACAGCCTTACAGGACATGAGATAAGAGTTAGTTGCATTTATTTCTAACATGAGCATACTATTGTAGAACATAAAATTTAACGATTCTGAACCTCAGTTTTACCATAGAAACATGCTTTGATCCACTCTCAAGATATCACATTGAATAGGTGGTGATTTTTGAACCCTGTGATGGTGCTGAGGGGAGGTCATCATCTGGTGCACCACAAGACTTCTTCACATACTGAGGATTCACCATGATGTCTTCTTCCATTGACTGCATTTTACGATCAAGATCTGTACAAACAGCCATCTATGCAAAAAAAAAATTACATATCACTAAATTAAACTTTTATAGTGTCAATGATGATTAAACTCACAGTGAAAGAAAACAGGAAGTTCTGGGAAGAACTACCTTACTACATTCCATTGAAATACCATGGTCTGCACAGAAAATGACACCTCCAACAATTCTTCGTTGTTACAGGAATGTCTTTACAAAGTTGTTACCTAGCAACAATAAGGGATACACAGACAGACCCATAGACTCTCCTTTGATACAACATGGACTATACATAAAGCAGTGCCTCCAACAATTCTTCTGTTGTTGTGTGTATTCACTGTCACAAGAATGCATCTACCAAGCCATTGCCTAGCAACAGTATGTGGAGATACACATACAGACACACAGACTGATGAGAAGGATTTATGCAGCATGCCACTGAGCTGGGCTCAGATGCTAAGATATACACACCAAATTTCATAAAAATTGGTTTAGACATTCAAAAGTTAATGGGGGGGGGAGGGTTACACACATGGGCAGTATGGTGATAGCACAGGCCTACTTACTCTTTTTTAAATTAGGGAGGTAGGACAAAAATATCTCACCTGACTACTACATTGTGGCAGAGGCAAAACACACCAATGGTGGTTTGAGGTACTCCCCACATGAAGATACTACAACAGACACTCAAAATGTTCACTTTTGATAATACGTGGTGCAATCCAAAAGTTCCTGAAATATATTAATAAAAACTATTACGTCTTACCTGGATCTTATTCTGCACCATCACCTTCAAAGTAGTCCCCTTGGGAGCACATACACTGATCCCAGTGTTTCTGCCACTTTTCAAATGCATCCTGGAAGTCTTTCTTTGTTAGGGGTGTTTAGTACTGTCTGCGTTTCCGCTTGAATTTCCTCAACTGTATCAAAGCTTCGCCCCTTCAACTTGATTTTCATCTTGGGGAAGAGAAAGAAGTCGCATGGAGCTAAGTCTGGTGAGTATGATGGGTGGGGAACAACTGCCATCTTGTTTTTAGCCAAAAATTCCTGCACAATGTAAGCCGTATGCGGTCGTGTGTTGTCACTGTGGAGTACCCAGTCATTCGTGCGCCACTTCTCTGGACGTTTTCTCCTCATGTCCTCCCTCAAATGCCTTAGAACATCGTGATAGAACTCTTTTATTGACTGTCTGACCAGGAGGGATGAACTCCTTATGAACAATCCCGTCAATATCAAAAAAACAGATCAACATGGACTTAATGTTGCTCTTGACTTGTCGAACTTTTTTGGCTGAGGTGAAGATGGGCTCTTCCATTGCGACGACTGCTGCTTACTTTCAGGGTTGCAGCCATAAACACAACTTTCATCACCAGTGACAACCATCGAAAGAAAGTCTGGATCCTCTTGAGGCTGTTGTTGAAGTTCCCTGCAGACTTCCAAGCAATGCTGCTTCTGTTCATTTTGCAGCAGTCGTGGCACAAACTTCGCTGCAATCCTCCTCATGTTCAGTTCCTCTGACAAAATTCGTTTACGTGTACCATAACGTAGTCCCAAGGTGTTACAGAGGTGTTGGATGGTCAGTCTACGATCTTGCAGAATCAGATCCCTAACTTTCGCGACATTTTCTGGTGTGGCGCCAGTTGATGGCCATCTCGAACGACTGTCATCATCAGTCGATGTTAGGCCATTTTTGAAACGCTTATACCAGTCGTAAGTTTTTGTCTGGCCCCTCGTTGGTGTCTCCACCTTATCGTGGTGAGGGGGTTTGAGTATGCCAAGGACCCTGAGAGCTATACCAGCGGTAGCGTAGCTACTGGCAGGGCCTCCCTTGCTGGACAGGTCAAAGGGTAGGCATCAGACGAGGAGAGACACCAAAAACTGATGCCGGAAGCAGCGTCATCAGCAGCGACTTGAAGCACAGAGCAAATGATGCTCGAGATGGTTCAAGTTCGTATAGCAACAGGCGTGACCAGAGTGGTTTGAACGGCTGTTGTACTGCAATGTGGAAAGCAAATGGAAAAACTACCACATTATCACTTTTCCTGGATAGTCTCTTTCCAAAACCAGAAGATCGCATTAAGTGGACGAACTGTTTTGGGGGAGACTGTGGACCTGTCGTCTGACAGATTACTGATGAATGAATGAAACTGTTGTCACCAAAAGCTTGCTTCAACATTTGGTGCATTTCTGCAGTGGTTTTCCCAAGTTTAAAACAAAACTTTGTGACACGCTGCTCTCTCAGGTCAGCCATCACAAAACCGCAAACTCATGGAAACACAAAAATGGAAATACGTTCACCAACAATAAACCCAAACACTCAACTCGACGCCACTTGCCACACTGATTCAAGAAGGGTGTGTAGGGAGACACCTAGCAGTATTTCAATGTACTCATTACCATTTGCGCGCAAAATTCAAATTTTGGGAACTTTTGGATTGCACCATGTAAATATGTAGGTTGGTAGTCATATTAATCTAGGCTAGTATCTGGTAGGTATCTTGTTTGAATATCAGTCAATTACCAACTAACCAAACAGTTCTTTTTTTTTTTGTGATTTTTCTCAGTCTCTCCAAGTAAGTTCGCACAGTACCTTCACATACGCCAAGACTGCCGCCTTCCAAACCCTTAACTACTTAGTATTCACAATCTTCTAATCTCATTTCACACAGTTAAAACAGTACTATCACATAGCCTAAGATCAATAAAATCTTCTCTGGCTATCAGCTAGGTCAGCTAGTTAAAAATTACTGACATTTCAGAGACCATCTTGTCTGCATCATAAGATCATACCCTGATAACAGGGAAACAGATGGTCCCAGGTGTCAGTATTTTTAACAGACTGCTCAGCATCCACTTCCTGCTCACCTGTCCTCAATAACACATTATGCTGCCATCCAGAGGCATACTTGAATCAAAAAATAGCTCTCCTGCAGTATGGAAAACAACATTATCTGCACTGAGTGTTTAGTTTTACAGTGACTTAAATATTCATCCCCCCAGTATTTTGCTCTGATTGTGGACATAAAATGGTATCTGACTTTCCAGATGCTACACTAGAAAAACAACCTTTAAGTTAACAGTGCTAAACTTGTAATGCCAGGAAACCATATAAAACTTCAGTCAGGCTCAGATTCAAACAGAGCCTCCACCTGAGTCTGGGGTACACCAACCCATTCAGTCTGACTGTATTAGTACCCAATTATTGCAAAGTGTTTTCTATTTTATCGCATTATATAGCAGTGTATTTACTCCAGTGTAATTTATCCCCAATAACACTACTGTAAATCCAACATACAGTATGACTTCACTACTTACAACACTTATACAAGGGAGCATATTAGCACCACAGCAAAGTCAAACTGTTGCAGATTGGTTTAGCCTGCATTACATGTCTGTCAATGCAATTAACCGTCGCCAACCAACCTGCTCGACTTTCAGTACGAAGGCTATTTGGAAAGTAACCTCTGTTTATTTTAGGCATTAATGCAGGAGTGGGGTGGAGCCTGTGCATGTGAGGTAATGTCACATGACTCACTGCCTTGTAAACCATCATATAACTGGTCACCTAGTATTTGTTCTTGTCTCTACAGAGTGAGTTATGATGTTTCCTGAGATTGATAATCCTGACAGCTGCGAAATTTGTGCTGTTATCCACTTTCTCCAGGTTAAAAACATAGGTGCTGCGGAACCCCACCATGAATTATGCTAGGCAGTTTATGGCAAGAATGTAATGAGTGAAAGAACTACACGACAATGGTGCAGAATGTTCAAAGATGGCAGGTGAACAAATGTTCATGACGGGTGAATTGGTTGGCCTGCCATATGTAGTGTGTGATTATCTTGTTCAAAGTGTTGACCAAACTTTGTGAAAGATGGCACTTCAAAATTTCAGAACTTTCGTGTGAATTTCCACAAATTTTACGCACTGTTGTCTATGAGATTATCACAGGTTTTGTGCAAGACAGGTTCTGAAAATGCTGATGGGTGCACACAAAGCACAGAGAATGGCTTTGGCTTTGTACACTTTTTTGGAGTGATATCACAAAGATGGCTATCAATTTCTCAATCACATCATATGAATAACAAGTGGTGAAACTTGAGTTTCATTTGTGAATGTTGAAACCAAAGAGTAGTCAAAGCCGTGGCTGCACACAGATTCACCAAACAAACTGAAACATTGTCTGCCAGAAAGCTGATGGCAGCTGTTTTCTAAGACAGGAAAGGAATGCTGCTGGTGGAATTCATGCAACAAGGGACCACAATAACCTCACAAGTGTGTTGCAAAACATTAAAAAAACTAGATAGGGCCATTCAGAACAAAAGGCGTGGAATGCTGACATCCGGTGTAGTGCTCCTCAAAGACAATTCACATTTGCATACAGTTGCTTGCACTTGAGTACTGCTGCAGCATTTCAACTAGGAATTACATGACCAACCTCCTTACAGCCCTGATCTTGCTTTAAGCAACAACCATCTGTTTATCCACCTGAAGAACTGGTTGAGATCACGGTGCTCCAACAACAAGGAGGTGTCAAAATGCAGCTGAGCTCACAGGCGACATATCTTTGACTCAGGCATACAAAACTTATTCACCAATACAAGTGCCTCATTTCTGCCAGTGACTGTGTTGAGAAGTAGCTTATCTATGTTTTATTTACGTATTTTTGTACATAACATTCTTTTTTCTTATGGCTTGTTTAGTTAACAGCTCACTGGAGATTACTTTCCAAATAGCCCTCACATATAATAATTCTTTTGTCACTGTCTGTTTTGTTAACAGTTCACCGGAGGTTACTTTCTGAATTGCCTTCGTATAATTCTGTATTCCCTGTATTTCCCAAATATAATGTAACGTGTCTGGAATCCAGAAGAGTCACTTCTATGGAAACGTTGGAATAGACCGTTGCACAGGAAACAACGACGCTCTATTGTAGTTCTAACAGGAGTCTCCACGGTTATAACAGAGGGTTCGTTTGCATAGCAGCGACCGAGGTTATAAAACGAGATCGACAAATTCTCGGCTACGGGAGTGTTCGGGGTGAGCACCACTGAAGAGAGGGGCAGATGCGGTAGAATGAACAGCGCAAAAAGACGTGCAAAGGACATGAAGACCGAATGTAGATGTTGCCAGCAGAACACCGTGGAATCAAAACCGAGGGAGAACCTTTAGGCTGTTCGGGGACGAACAACCTTTAGAAGGGAGCAATGTAATGTGTCTGGAATCCAGAAGAGTCACTTCTATGGAAACGCTAGAATAGACCGTTGCATAGGAAACAACAATCGCTATATTGTAGTTCTAACAGGAGTCTCCATGGTTATAACAGAGGGTTTGTTTGCATAGCAGCGACCGAGGTTATAAAACGGGTTGAATGCATTCGCACAGTTAGTCTGGATCCAACCGCTAAAGAAGACAGTCCAGTATTGCCGAGATACTGTAAGCAGTAATTGTAACACTGCAAGAGCTAATGATTGTAAGGTGTGTAAGGTGAGCGAGTGGAATAAATTCAATATATCAAATACCACGGCGTAAACTTATTTGTAGCGTGACACACACAACACGCTACAATATGTACAGCCAGAATACCTTGAAGAAATAAAGCTTACCTCCTCTTCCAATCGTCGTAACATGGCAGGGCTATTATACTTCTCTGGATCATCATGAAATATCACCATGCCATCCTTCTGGTTGATTGTTGCAAAAATCTCGCCATCCTCAATCTGCGCAAAAGCAAACAAGCTGCAACTCTGAGGTCCTCACGGCACTGAGTATGAAGAATATAATTTCTAAAGTGTGATACAATGTAGTCCAGTAAATATTCACTGACATTTCTCCCTTTCACTGTGCCATTAGAATAAGCCCTTTAAGAGCCTCTTTCCTTACACTGTCTCTGCTAACTTCCTTCTACCATCCCCACCAGTCGATTTGTAGCTATTACATATCTAACCTCTTAGCTCTTCGTAAACATAAAATTGTGTTTCCTTACACTGTCTGTGCTAACTTCCCTCTACCATCCCCACCAGTCGATTTGTGGCTATTACATATCTAACCTCTTAGCTCTTCGTAAACATAAAATTGTGTTCATTCACATTATCAGGGCTTGAAGAATGAATTCCAAATTTTGAAAGACGGGCCATGGCAGCTCAGTCAGCATAGTGACTAGTCTTTGAGCTACCCAACCATAGTTCAATTCCCAAAATGAGCAAAAGATGTTTCTCTTCTCCATTGCATACAGACCAGCTCTGGGGCCTCACCCAGCCTCCTATCCATTGAGTACTGGGGGGCTTATCTCTGGGTGTAAAGCATCAGGGGCATGAAACTGACCAATCAGCCCCATCTAGTGTTGAGGTCAAGAACGGTGGAGCTATACCTCCACCCCCCATATGCCTTCATAGGACGGTACTTAATTAAATTTGAGGAAATGTAAAACTGATTAAACTGTAACGTTTTTCTTATGGATATTTGGCTGAGACCAAATAAGAAGTGTGTAGAACCAGGAAAAATATCAAATTCAACAGCATAAGATCAAAGTTGCACCACACCATGTACAGTTCTATCACAATAAAGATTAACACTGACCATGTTGAGAATGTACTTCTCAGCATCTGCAGGTCCAGAAAGCTGCACCCTACTAGCAACATCAGACAATGACAGGGTGAGGAACGTCTTAGTGAGGCGCTGAATGTTCTTCTTGTACAGAGATGCCAGAACTTGCTTCACTAGTCCTACGTTGTTTTCCCTGCACAATAATGTCCACTATTAAATATATAAATAATTCATGTTACATATTTAACATCTTGTGGCTCTAGGAGTATAAAAGAATTAGTAATTCTACGTCTTACACTGGAGCTGAGAAAAGAACTCTCACGGACAATCCCCCACTGTCTACCCCCCCCTTCCTGTGCCACTCCTCTACTCTTCCTCTCATATGGCTGGAGTACTCAAACCATGCTGTTACCCAAGGGCCGTGAGCAGCAGACTATGACAGCTGAGTGGAGGAACAGTCTCTCCCACCCCAGCAACTTTTATACCCAACCATCCATGAGAATTCTTTGGACAATTCAACTACAGTTGCTGCCATGTTTGTACTTTCCATGTTATCAGACCTATCCGTTCTCAACAGAATGTGCCAAGGATTTGGCTGCATCCAATAAGATAAGGATTTTTCAGTATCTATGGTTATAACAGGGCCTTACCCTGCATCATCCTCTCTTCTTGCAACACAGCTGCAAACTACAGGCCCAATATATGCCTATCAAGCTGATAGTGGATTCTGAACATGCTTTTAGGACATGATCTAGGCCTGGAAGATGTTTTAGGACTTAAAAAGTACAAAGACTAAGTGGCCTTTAATGGCATGACATTCACACCAAATTTCACAGAGACTACCTGGGGGACAAACACACTCTAGATATGGCTATACAACAGGCCTGTATTACTTCACACAAGTGGACTAAGGATCCAAACCGTGAGTACAATGCACCTGGCTTTAAGAGCAGAGTATGTTGTCTTACAGGCTACTAGAGTCATGTAGTCAAACTTTCCATTCCATTTTGTCACATTGGGTCTTTATGTACTTTCATCTTCTTCCATATTTATAAAACGTTTTGTAAGCATGAGATGTATCATGGTAATTATTGTCACATGCCAAGAAGACAAAAACAATTAGTTGTTTTGAATATAAACTGACAGGCAGCAGCAAAACTTTGTTTCAGGAACACAAATATATACCTCAAGTATGCATCATGGTATTTATTGATCACAGTGCGCAGTTCATCTGGATTATTGCTTGAGTACGCTGTAGCCAAATCATGGTATGGTTGACTTAACGGTTTGATAAATCTACCAATCACTTGCGATGTATATTTTGGAATGTTCTGAATCTGCAACAAACACAATTATTGCACAGAACTTTAGGCTTTCTCCAGGCAGCTTGTGATTGGTCTTGTTTTCATTCTTGGGAGATAACACCATGTTGTCAGGGGTTGAAATGTCGACACTGTCTCCATCTTAAGCACAAAATGAATAACGAGCAGTCTGACACTGATATTTATACTTCCATGCTATAAGGCAGTGTAAAATTCTGAACTCTATTGGTGGCATCAATACACAAACCCACCAGGATTTGGGTTCCTTCCCAGGTTAAATTTTCTAAACTTTTTTCATACAGGCAGTAGTAAGCCACATGGATGAGATAATGATGAAGCCATTTTATCCAGTGAACTCTGAAGATGGAGATAGCAACATTCTCCAAGACACATCAGGTCACCATTAAACAGTATCATAACCCAAGAATGAATAAAATAAGATTAACATGGTAAATATTATGGAAAGACTCAATATTCTTATCCTTCCCAGTATTAGATCTGGCAAGTCTGTTAGACAATGGTGCAATTCCTTGAGATCACCAAACCAAGGAGCACAACAGCAAACTGAACCTCAATATGTGGAACCACAGGAAATACATTAGGTCTATCCATGCTGATCAGGCAACAACTGCAGAAACAAGTGAACATCATCAATGTATCTTAACCCTTTGAATGTCAAAACCCCATCACAGAACTATCTGCTACAAACTGCAAGATTTCTTTTGGGTTAATTCATTCACAGAGGAAAAGCCATGACGCCTTCCTCAAACAGCCTTTGAACTACAATAGCTATATTTCAAGTGACAGTCTGCTCTTTGCTCTAAGCACTGGTACATCCCACCTGATGCCATCTATTGATATATATGCTCACTATTTCATTAAAAATGAACTTTGGCAGTTTTAAGAAGTACCCTGAGCCCCCTGAGCTGATCTAGTTGGTACATGGAAAATTTAGAAGATTATTGCAAAGACCAGGATCTGGAAGCATGTGCTCTAAAGTTAGACTCTCCTTTTTCTGATATTTGTATACTGACTTTATATAGAGCCCCATCTGGAAACTTTGATCACTTTATAAATAGATTAGAAACCATCCTAAATGTACTGCATAGTTCAAAAGTTGAATTTATAATTTGTGGTGATATAAATATAAACTATCTCATCGACAGTAATAGGAAACTAAATTTAGACTCTTTGTTATCATCTTACAATCTCTCCAGTACTGTTAACTTTCCCACAAGAGTTCAAAATAATTCTAGTTCAGCGATAGATAATATATTCATTGATAACTCAAAATTAAGAGACTATACTGTAGGACCCTTTATAAATGGCTTATCCGATCATGATGCTCAACTCATAGAAATAAATAATATTGACCTTCAGCCCAGTAATCAACAATATCAAACAGTAAGGAAAATCAACAAGCATACGATGGCAGATTTTGTCACAAAATTAAGTAATGAATCATGGGACAATGTATTTGACAGCAATAATATTGATTCTAAATTTAATTGCTTTCTGAACACATACTTGAGGATCTTTTATTCAAGCTTTCCCTTAAAAATAGTCAAAAATGAAAATAAAAACAAATCCACCTGGATAACAATTGGAATAAAAACTTCATGTAAACACAAAAGACAACTATATTTGGCCAGTAGGGACAGTAATGATCCAAGACTAAAAAGTCACTACAAAATGTACTGTAAAATTTTGTCAAAAGTCATTAAAGAAGCCAAACAGAATAACTATAACAGCCAAATTCTAAAATCAAACAATAAAATTAAAACCACCTGGGATATTGTGAAAGTTGAATCAGGAAAGAAATCTGTTAATGAAGACGTACAAAGTTTGAATATTGAAGGGAAGTCCACTAACAATCCACAAGCTATCGCAAGTGCATTTAATGAATATTTCCTTTCATTAGCTGAGAAAACATATTCCAATAATAATAATAATAATAATAATAATAATAATAATAATCCAATATACTATCTGTCTCGTGCCTTTAACAATTCATTTCCAAATATCAATCTCAAATTCTCAACAAGGAAGGAAATTGAAAACATTATTAAATCCCTTAAGCCCAAAAATTCACATGGATATGATGAAATCTCTACCAAATTACTTAAAGCAAGCTCTGTTTACATCAGTTCACCCTTGAATCATCTATGTAATAAATCTTTATCATCAGGTACTTTTCCTCAACGCTTAAAATACGCTGTAATGAAACCACTTTTTAAAAAAGGAGAGAGAAAATGCATCTCTAATTACAGACCAATATCCATATTGACTTCATTCTCAAAAGTCTTTGAAAAAGTTATGTATAATAGACTACTTGAACACTTAAATTCTAACAACATATTAGTCAAAGAGCAATTTGGATTTAGGAAAGACCTAACAACAGAAAAAGCAACCTATGAACTAACTAACGATATTTTAAGTGCTCTCAATGACAGATTAATTGTGGGAGGGATTTTCTGTGATCTAGCAAAAGCTTTCGATTGTGTTAATCATGATATCTTACTATCGAAATTAAATTTCTATGGAATAACTGGCAAAGCTAATGAATGGATCAAATCATACCTCAAAAACAGGTATCAAAGAGTTGAAATAAATAATAAAAACTCCAGTCATAATGCATTTTCAAACTGGGGAATTATAAAGCACGGTGTTCCACAAGGATCAATTTTAGGTCCCTTACTTTTTCTTCTCTACATAAATGATCTATCTAAAACCATCAACAATAAATCTAAACCAATTCTATATGCAGATGACACTAGTATAATATTTAAGAACTCTAAATTTGAAAACTTTAAAAATGACATAAATATTGTATTTGAAGCCTTAAACAGATGGTTCGAAGCCAATTTACTCTCATTAAATTTTGATAAAACCCATTACATATCATTCACAACTAAAAACAACCACCAAATTGATCTGGACATCAGTTATGCCAACAAATTAATCTGTAAAGTACTTGATACAAAATTCCTTGGAATACATGTAGACAGTACACTGTCTTGGAAAATACATATTGAACAAATTATACCTAAATTAAATGCAGCTTGCTATGCGATGAGATCAATTAAGCCTTTTATGTCACAGGAAACATTGAAGATGGTTTACCATGCCTACTTTCATTCTATTATGAACTATGGATTAATATTTTGGGGGAACTCTTCACATAGTGTAATAATTTTTAAAATACAAAAGAATATAATTAGAATCATTACAGGATGTAGAAGTAGAGATTCATGTAGAGAATTATTTAAGAAATTAAAAATTCTACCTCTTCAATCGCAATACATATTATCGCTTCTCTTATTTGTTGTTTACAACAAAGATAAATTCAAATTAAATTCTGATGTCTATAACATGAATACTAGACAAAAATATAACTTCCACCTACCCTCATCAACTTTATCAGTATATCAAAAAGGAGTCTACTTTACTGGCATAAAAGTGTTCAACAATCTGCCACAAAGTATTAAAAACTTGGGCAATGATACTAAAAAGTTTAAATCAGAGTTAAAGAATTATCTACATGCTCATTCCTTCTACTCTTTAGATGAATACTTCAATGTAAATAGAGAATGATGTAAAATTAAGTTATATTAATTTTTAAGCTAAAATTGCCTGTACTTATGTATGTAACCTTTTGACTTGTTCTGTATCCAAAGGTACTAACCTACTTAGGATTTATAGAATGTAAATAAATTCAATTCAATTCAATTCAAAGGGTTAACATACATTTAGTACAGATGAACAGCATTCAGATGTTGGTAAGGCACAACTTAGTATTGAACTTGATACCTTCAGCTGGAAGGGAGTGGTGGTAGCAAGAACTGACCTACATATCTCAAGCTGGTTTATACAAGTAAAAGGATGGAAAAGACACAAAACTGATTAAAAAACTACTGAAACTGGAAATGACCAAAGAAGGGATGGAGGAGAAAAGGATAAAGAAAAAGAGAAGGGAGGAAAAGATAAGGAAAATAGGGCAGAAAAATTATATAATGAGTTCACTAAAACTAACATGAATATTAAAAATAGTTATTAGCATGGCCTAACATTATTTACCTTTAAACTTCTATAGACATATGATAAACACTGACATAAAAAAATTTGAGTCTGTGTGAAGTTATTTTAAACACCACTCCTCATGACAAGAATATGATTTACTTTCACAGACAACTACTAACTTGCACTCACCATAGAGGCCATATGCATAGGACATGACAGTTTCCTCTCTCTCTCTCTGCAAAGTGTTAGGTATTTTATCTTTTAAAGATTAACTTTTCATGTTTTGATATCCATAAAATAACAAAACTGAACTACTAAGGGGGAAATTACCTCAGCTTCTGACAGTTACAAGAAATAACACATAAATATCTAAACTCTAAGGATTCAATGTTTAATCACTTGCCTTGCCATGTAGAATCAGAGACACAAGAATGTATTTCTTGTAAGCTTCCAGCATAATATGTGATACAGCCAAGGCAGGAGTTGTAATGGCAACCTCAAAGAAGTAAAGTGCCCTGTCATAGTTCTTCAATGCAGCATAGATCATTCCTCCATAATAGTAATACAAGAGGAAGTATTTAGTGTCAAACTGTCCACCCTGGAAGAGTTAATACTCAGTAACTTTGTTTTGCAAAATTTGAGGTTCTCATATTATTGACTATGAAGGTTGCTCTTTTCTAGGATGAGTCACTGAGTAGCAGACACTATGGAATAGTTCTCTGGGGCAATTTGACTAATAATTCTAGAGTTTTTAAATTACAAAAGAAAGTAATAAGGATCATTTTGGGAATGGGACCCAGAGACTCATGTAGAAGTCTAAGGTTTAAGGGTGGTTAAAGGTGTAAGAAATAGAGTCTCCTGTAGAAATTTGTTTCGAGAATTTAAGATTCTAACAGTTACTTCCTTATATATATTTGAGATTTTATGTTTTATAATAAAAAATAGGATATATACTACCCAGTATTCTGACGTACATGGCTATAATACTATTCATAAACACAATCTGTATGTTCAATTTTGCAATACTGAGCGCTGCAAAAGAGGGGTGATTGGTATGGGAACCAAAATATTTAATGGCCTACCGACTGAACTAAAAAGTGTAAATAATTTTAATGTTTTTAAAAAGAAGCTAAAAAATTATTTGTTGTGTAACGTCTTTTATTCTCTTCAGGAATTTTTTAACAACTGTTGATATGGACTGCTTGCTGACAAATAAATCTGTTTTAGATAAATTATTTATATGTACAGGAATATGTTTTAAATAGTCTGTGTGTATGTTGTAAACAATCTGTATATATGTTTTAAATATTTTCTCTAGTCTTAGGTATTTATTATTCTATATTCATGTACTTTGAATGTTATGCTTGATGTAATGTTGTTGTTATCTGATATGTCCAATTGTAATTTCTACAGCTATGGATGAAATAAATGAATTGAATTGAATTGAAGTCTTTTTAAGAAACTGGATATTTTGCTATTGTCATGTTAATATATTTTTCTTTGATGTTTGTGATAGATAATCAAAATCATTTCTGTTCAGGTTCAGAGGTTCATGGCCTGAACACTAGAAGCAAAATCAAATTTATATTCCAACTTAAAATCTTTCTGTTTTCCAGAAGGCACTATGTTTACTTGTATTAGGTTATTTAATAGGTTGCCAAAGACAATTCAAGGTCTTAGAAAGGATAGAATCAGTTTTGAAGATAATTTATTTTCATATCTCATGAATAACTCATTTTATACAGTTGATCAATTTTTGGAGCATACAGTAAATAATTAGTGTTTGCTTAGCTTTATATTGTCTTTCTGCTTTGTTTGTTTGTGTTATGCTTGTGACCAGTTACATGTCCATTGTATTTTGGACTTGTGAAATGTGAAATATTTGTATGTATGTATGTATGTATATACTTATTAAATACCCTGCCATAACTCAGGCACTTAAACAATGGTGCCTCAACACAGTGGTTCAGGTTCAATTCCATGTCAATTCAGACGGGATCTGGTACTTGCCTCTGACTCAGAAAAAGCATGGAGAACCTAAGTTAGGGCAGTCAGTTCACTGGATGGAATTCAAACCAGGCACCTCAAGTCAGAAGTCAGAAGTGTTTCTGCTTCAACCAACTTGCTTGGTACCATTATCACCACCACAATTACTTACATCTACATCAAAATCATTGCCTCTACACACTTACTCGAAAAAAATTTAAGATGTACACAAAAATTTCTATCTCTTCTCTGCTTCCATACAGTTACAGTATTTATGTCCTTATATACAATCTAGACAAGAAATACAGGTTGAATTTACTATGAGTCTGTGCTATCTAAAAAAGGTTATCTAGAGCTGATAATATTTATTTTTTTAATTGCTAGTGGGGTGGGACTAAGTCCCTTGTACTGCGGCCACTTCTGGCCTATTGTACCAGCCCCAGATGATAGGTGAGGGTGATTGTGGAGCAATTGGTGGAATGAAGATTGGCAGGGGAAACTGAAGTACTCAGAGAAAACCTGCCCCAGGGCCACTTTGTCCACTACAAATTCCACTTTACTAGACCCAGGATCGAACCCGGGTCACCACAGTGGGAAGCCAGTGACTAACCTCTTGAGCTATGGTGCAGCCCTAGAGCTGATAATAAAGTTCAAAATTACAAAAACTGGCTGCATGTCAGAATGTAACAGTATCATAGCAACTTGATTATAACAGTTAGGCATCCTCGAATTAAAAGAACAGTATTTTCCTTGTGCGAAACACTCCACAATACATGTTCACTATGGCAGTAATAACTACAAGATATCAATACTAAAATCATATTTAATACCTCCTGACTGATACTAGTGATGTCTGTGTTTAGAAATACAAGTGCTGGCTTGAAGCATTTGGCTAGGATACAAAGCTGATACAGATCAGCATGAATCGAAGTGAGCTGTGAATCGAAGAGCTGAATCTTATGGATTGCTCGTCGTAACAAGTCGATGCCTCTCAGTGGCACCTTCAACTCAACCAAGCTGTGTGTCAGTAGATGGCATAATTCTGCATCTGCCAGACAAATATATTAATTAAGATTTTAATCGGTTCTGTTCTTTAAGATCACAAAGTTTAGTTATAAGGCTTACAAAGTTCATTTCACATCCATACACAATCCCAAAAAACTACAAGGTATAGGGTTTTCCTTGAACGAGTGACAATTATTCAAATGATCATGGGACACCAAAATTCCATCAACATCACCACAGAAGTCTGCAAATGCATCCTATCCCGAACCACTTCGATCCAATTCACATCTTCGTGATATATTTCTTAATTATTTCTCCAAGAGCTGTCTTCCTTTTCAGTTTTCAGACCAAAACTTTATATGCATTTTTATTACACTGACATATCTTACATGCTTCACCCAATCCATTCTTCTTGATTTAATCACTCTGAAACTACAATGTAAAGAATACATATTGTGAATCTCTTTAGTGTACTAGAGCAAGCTCACAGTTATGTAGTATCAAAACATCTGAAATTCGCATCCAAATGACACAAAATTTCACAGAAAATTTACTATTTTTATAAAGCCAAATTTGTTCCCATGTAATGCAGAAGTTCAACCAGACACCACTAGCAGCACTACTAGATAAAAAATTTCACCTTACTTTGCGTTCCACTTTTTTGCCGGTCTATGTGCAACAGGATGCTGCAATTTAACATTAAAAAATGTAATGTATACCAAGTATAAAACCAGGCCCCATGCTTGTGGTTCAGAGTCTGTGTTTAGCTTAGGTCCCCAGAACCAACAATCATTGTCATCGAGGATAGAGACTCTGTGCTATGATTGCCTCCACCTCAAGACATTCATTCTACATCCTTGAGGTGGCCAGAGACCAGAAAAGTCAACATTAACCATATCTGGAGGGATTACACAAACAACAAGAAACACCGCAAAAGACACAAAAGTTCCAAACTACAAAAAACCATCGCACAGACACTACACATACTTTCTCACATGACAGACCCTGAATATGTTACACTGAATAAGAAATCAACTGCTGTTTGGCAGACCACTGTTGGTTACTAATACCAAACAACAATGAAATCCATCTTATAAATAAAGCAAGTTTCAACATCATCAGCATTTTGTGTTTGGGCCCCTAGAACATGAACCTTATTTTCATGAAGATACCACCTATGAAATTTTGTTTTATGAAATGGTCTCCATTATCACTGAAATTTAAACAAAATAATTAGAGGCATTCTTTAGAAAATCTACTGTTTTGTACTTTGAGGTACATCTGAAGCACCCCTATTTTTGGAGCTGAAATGTTCACATATACCAGGCACTGACCTATGATTTCTAAACTCTTGAACACTGAACAAGAATATAAATCCATCCAACTGTTGAACAACAGCAAGACACACATCCACATGTACATACAGATAGACAGATAGACATTATACCAAAAACAACTTTATCATATTAAGGGAGGCTCAAAGCATATAAACCCATAAAAATATCAAGATTGATTAACACTTTTCTGTATATATTACATATAAAAGTAAAACAAAAATCCCTCTTGAAGTTGGCTTACATGTGTCTGGTGCAAAGCGAACTTGCTCTCCATTGCATCCTGTTATGAATTCTTGGACCTGGGCAAAAAGAAGTTCATGGTGGTCTGGTGTTGCTGATGGTGCAGGAAGAGAGAACTTAACACACAGAACCGCAAGAACTCCTAGCGAATGCTGCTGTAAATCCAACGTTTCTAATACATTGTCTAAATGTTGGCCATTTTTCATAAGTACCTCTGTTGATTTATTCAGCTGATCGCACAGCTCTCGAAAATTACCTGGAAATTAAAGCATCCATATTTTCTGATATGTCACTAAATTCTAAAATAGGAAAACAATATTTATTGTTATTGCTATTGGAGGTGGGACTAAGTCCCTTGTACTGCGGCCACTTCTGGCCTATTGTACCAGTCCCAGATGATAGGTGAGGGTGATTGTGGAGCAATTGGTGGAATGAAGATTGGCAGGGGAAACTGAAGTACTCGGAGAAAACCTGCTCCAGCGTCACTTTGTCCACCACAAATCCCACTTGAGCAGACCCCGGGATCGAACCCGGGCCGCCACGGTGGGAAGCCAGAGACTGACTACTTGAGCTATGGCGCGGCCCGGAAAACAATATTAATAGAGGTAGAAGTGACATACACTGACAAAACTTATCTTCTTTCTTTACTTCTATCAACCAGGAATAGGAAATTTTAGAACTCCCCAGCATTACACAGCTGGTGGGCAGCAAGATTTTAACTCAGTCTTTGGACTCAGAAAATAAAACACTTGGCCAACTGAGGTTAATCTAATATTTACTAGTGTACATGCATGTTATGATAGGTGGAGTATGCCTGTATTATTTTATAACTCCAGTCAGTTTTGACCTCACTATTCCTCAGTGATGTAAAGCAAAAGCAAAGCACAAATGGGTCAATAATGTGGTCATAAATCATAATTTGTTCTGAATGTGTACTGTATTAGACAAGTACAAATACTTCCATTCCCATGCAGATACAGTGCATAATAATATGGAAAAACTGCATTCGGAAGGTTCTATGATCGAATCTTGGCCGGGTGAAAAAAAAAACTCTGCTGACAAGATTCTAGTAGTTTTCCTGTCTCTCCAGGCAATACAAAGGCAGTAACTTAAATCAGACCATGACAGTTTCATTTCATATCCTTTTCAATGCATTATTCATTACCATTCAATTACTCGAGGCTATATGGTTAGATACCAACAGCGCCGTTAAATAAACAAGTTAAGACAACATGTAATATCCCGTACAGAAAGATGTCGTTTTAATGCCACATTACACACTTACACCCAGTTACACATAAGAAACTAAATGCGACCGAACCATTTAAATCTTGTTCACACAGATTATAATTTGAGGTTATGAAGGCCATGTTCTCAAACACATACTCTGCAGCTTTAACATTACCTTGGGCTGACAATGTGCGAACATTATTTACGAACTGCTCTAACGCTGACGCCATTGTTTTGCGTTTTAATCAAATAATATCATATTTCTCTCCTACACCACAATTTCAGTACATGATACGTAAGGAACAAAATACGAATTCTTCTGTACGTCTATAAGCAATATTCGAACCCTTAACCCAATGCACACGATCGTACTTTCCCACCAGTCCTTGCCCCGCCCCTCTGTCATTAGTACAAGTCGATCCGTGTCTGGTGAGGCCACTGAAGATGCTATCAATATTTATCCACTGTAGGAGCCACATTCGTTACTATGGCAACACACTGTTTACTTAATCGAAGGCAAAATAAAATAGTTTAAAAAACTGATAATTTCATTCTTGTGAATTTTACGTTAAAAATGTAGTACTGCTGTTACAGTATAAAAAATGCACGTTTGAAGCAACAATCAACCAACCAAATTAAAAATAAAAAATTGAATTTAATATAGTGTCCACAGTGATGTCCCATATGACATAGAATAATCTTTGGGCTGAAGCACAAAAAAACATAAATGAAGCATCTCAGTTTGATGCAGCTCTTCACGCAGTTCCAAATTAAATAGATAAACAAGCAGCGCAAATACATGTCAGTGAATTATATGTGAGGTACATGTTAACAAAATGGACCAATGCTATGATCAAATTGTGCACCCTCAGAAAAGACTTTGTGATCTGTAAGTTACTAGATGCATGCATTGGAAGAGTGTTGGAACTGAAACGTGAATTAGTAAATCTGTACTTGTCAGAATTTAATTATTATGATGATGTTCTGCTCAAGCTGAATCTCTTGCCTGTGGAGGTGATAATTGAGCCAAATTATTACAGAAGAGAAAGAGAAGAAGAGATCAAGAAAAGGAAGACAGCAATGGATAATATATTGAAGAAGCTGGGTTTCTACGAAGAAGAAGCAGTAGAAGTTATGACTGAAGAAGAAGCAATTCGCCTCATACAGATTCATGAACGTGCCCAGCAGGTATATTAATTATACATATAACACTAACATAATAAGGGTAGAAGGTATAGCTTCACCATTCTTAGCCTCAGCATTACATGAATGTCAGTGGTCGGCTTCAAGTCCATGCTGTACCGCCACAGGAAACAGCCCCCAGCACCAACCATGCAGGAGGATGGATGGGCCCCACTGCCAGAATTAGCATATGGAAACAATATATCACAAATTTTAATCATTTCTTGCATTCTGCTGTGTGTTTAATTAATAGTAGAGTGAATTTACCAACTACACAACGGGTTTTTTATTATCACTACATGTTTCGACCTCCAGAGGTCATCCTCAGGTGTATGAACACGGCTGTATAATTACACGCGGTCACATTCACTTTTCACTCATTTGACCCTGTATCTTATCCAGATTTACGCTCACTAATATATCGAGTTCTTTTTATAAAACACAGGTTAAAACTATTATTCTAATTTAATTGTTAAAAGTTTGTGAATCAAAGTTCAATTCATGTCACTGGTTACACTTCACTTGTTTTTACAGTCTCATTTTACTTACGCTCACAACTGTGTCTAGTTCTTTTTTAACTAGTTTAATTATTATTATTATTATTATTGGTTAAAAGTTCGTGAATTAAAGTTCAACTTATGTTATTGGTGCATTGCTGCCATTAAGATCCAGAAAACTTGGTGTGAATATAACACACATAATAAGATGAAAGCTGGAGATGCTGCTAATTGGAATGTTACAGCCAAGCTTCACAGATGTAAAAGCTTACCAAGGACCTGACACACAGACACCATGGTCATTGGCAAAAGCCTTCTTTTATTTTATGAAAACAAGGAAAGTGGGCTAAAACTGTCAAACTGTAACAAACCTGCTGTAGTACTTGCTTACTTACTGGGCCACACCGTAACTCAAGCAGTTAGTCGCTGGCTTCCCACAGCGGTGGCCTGGGTTCAATCCCGGGTCTGGTCAAGTGGGATTTGTGGTGGACAAAGTGACACTGGGGCAGGTTGTCTCCAAGTACTTCGGTTTCCCCTGCCAATCTTCATTCCACCAATTGCTCCACAGTCACCATCACCTACCATCTGGGGCTGGTACTATAGGCCAGAAGTGGGCTGCAGTACAAGGTACTTAGTCCCACTGCAGTCTCTCCATGATCCAAGTCCGCAAGCAAATTATACCGACCGAGGAACCCCCGCTTGTCGGCGAAGTTTAGTGCCAACGTTTGCAGACAGAGGGTGTAGCGTGGTCAGCACAACTAATCCCCACAGCCCTGCTGGAAGAATTATCAGCTCTACACGATAACCCAGGGAGAGGAGAAAATGAACTACCAGTCATTAGCAAATGTTACAAAGAGGTATCCCCTCTTGGGCATTTAATCCAATCAGGGAACTGTCCCAAGGCCTACGACTACACGTACGAAAGTCTCTTCTACGAGGCTAGAGTATCGTTCGATGAGGGAAGACAAATAAAGGAAACAGAAGATCATAACAAGGAATTTTACAAGATATTCCAAGAAAGAATTAGGACCAGCAAAAGTTTCGCCACGGACGGCTCAAAAATGGTGGACAAGCCTTTTGTAGGATTGGCACTGATAGATATAAACGATGGTCGTCGAATGAAATTCAGAATATCCAAGATAGCGTCCATATTCACTGCAGAAGCATTAGCAATTGCCGAAACACTAGAAATCATCGAAAAAACAGAATCCGGGCAAAACTTCACGATTTTCTCGGACTCGGCAAGCGTGTTACAAAGCATTGGTAACCCCACTAAAATAAGCAACGCATCGCACATCATCCACATGCTAAAGGATAAAACAGAGAGACTCGAATCACGAGGGAAAAAAATCCAATTCTACTGGATCCCGGGGCACTGTGGAGTCGAAATTAATGAGAGGGTCGACTCGCAGGCAAAGCTAGCAATTAAAGAAGGCAGAGATAGCCAACTACTACTACCCGTGGCTGATCTTAAAACCGAGTGGAAAATGAAAGGGAAAGAAGAACTCCACAGCTTTTGTCAAAACACCAAACAAGAAAGGGGAGAACGCTACTTTGAAAGGTACTATAGAAAAGGCTCTACTCCGTGGTTTAGTCAGATAAAAATGAACCGCCGTGCCTTCGTGTCAATAAACCGTATGCGAGCAGGACATACCAGTCTTAAAGTAAGTCTAAACAGATTTAACATTGTGCCCACGGCCGAATGTGAATGTGGTGACGGGTTGCAAACGGAGGAACATATTTTCTGGGATTGCAAACAGTGCGACGACCAAAGGGCAATAATGATGGGCATCCTCTCCGAGAACAGTAAAAAGGACTACCCAAAATCAGTCACAGAGCTCTTGAGGCTAGAAGAAAAGAGATTTCTGCAAGGCGTCTGCTACTTCATAAACAACATTCCCATATATATTTAAAACGGATACGTAAGGAAAGAACAAGAGGAAATGGCATGGACCATTCTCAAATTCTCAAATTTATGCTAAGATGTGAATTAACCGCGGGCCCACCGCTACTACAGAAAGAGAAGTTTTTAGAATGTGCTACAGAAGGCCGGATGGGCATTGCCTAGGCCACTTTTGTATCCTAGATTTTTTTTACCCAATAAAAAAAAACACAGTGACAAAGTTAAGTGACAATCCTTGTGTTCATTTTCTTTATACATTCTTAGCCTGAATTTGAAGTGCACATAGGTAGAACAGGCATAAGTATGATACTGTGACANTGAATCTGGCAGCGCCGGGAATCGAACCCAGACCTCTGGATCTGTAGCCAGGAACACTGACCACTAGACCACAGAGGCGGTGCACCAAGAATAAAAAAATAACACTTACTTACTTACTTATGGAGCTGAGCCCTTCTTGAGAAGCCAAATCTCCTACTGTTGAGTATGGTTGTAAAGTGATATTACTTCAGATAAAGAAAGAATATAGACTGAGTGTGTTTGAGAACAAAATGCCAAGAAGACTTCTGAACCCAGGAAGATGAAGTAAGGACTGCAGAAAATACAATAATGGATAAATCATAAATTTGTCCATTTATGTCATCTCTTTTAGATTTAAACATTCTTGCCAGCACTTTGTTTTTAAACACGTGTAATTTATGTATGTCCTCTCAAATTAAGGGACCATGTTCACAATTAAACAAAACTGAAAAATTATTTTATATAATTTTACCGTTTTGAAAAGTACGTGAGATAACAGTTTTTGAACTGAATTATAACTAACACATAATTTATTTTCCTCCTCATTTCATTAAAGTGTCTCAGTTCTGTGTCATTTCTAAATGTCCATTTTGCTTTCAGATACTTCAAATTTTGAAATCTTTTTCAAACAAATCATTAATGTTAGTTTTACTTTGTAGCAGATTTCTGTACCTTTACATTAATCTGTACTTTTGTCTTGACCATCTTCATTGCTAGTCTATGTGAATATTTCTGTTGTTATGCTTTATTACAGAGGGGGTAAAGGAAGAAAAGAGAAGGGAATTCTTTCCTTCTTCCTTGTCTTTCTTTCCCTTTTCCTTTCTTCCTTTACCTCCTCTGTAATAAAGCATAACAACAGAAATATTCATATAGACTAGCAATGAAGCAACCATCTAACTTCTTGGGCGAGTTTTAGGCTGCAAGTAGAGAATATGATGAAGTTTGGGACAATCGAGAAGAGTCTCAGAACCCATGGCAGCATGCCGACATTGATATGATCTGAGAACAGAAGATGGCTGAAGTAGAAGCTCAATTATGAAAGTAGTGTCCCACGAGATTCAACTCATTCTGCTTTAGATCTGATCTGTATCCTACAGACAGAGAAAGCAGTAATTATATTCATTAATAATTCTATGATCCAAAGCCTTCCATGAACTGGTGACACATGGTACAAAAATTACTTGTTGCTATGGAACTTGAAGGTTCATTGCTCCATTCACAAAAGGCCATCTTTATATCCTGTCCTATAACATCTCAATCCATTCAACATCTTCAAACTGCAGACTGCTTGGTCAATACAGCAACTTAGCCATGGAATGGAAAACTAAGAAATCAGAAAGTCATTCTTAGCAGGAGAAAAAGATATTTCTCTCCTGTACAACACCCAGACTGGTTCTGGGACCTATCCAGTGGATACCAGCAACTCTTTCACAGAGGTAAAGTAGTCAGAGCATCAAGTTGACCACTCAACTCCATTTCATGCTAAGGTTACAAATGTGTGGGGCTATACCTCCACATCCCCACACATCTTCATTGTGTGGTGCATAATTAAAGCACAGGGGCTACTTTACCTTTATCTTGCCAATTTAATATTATCCTGCAACCTATCCCAAACTTTCTGAAGTGGTATCTCCCTTGAGATTTTAAGACCAGAATTTTGTATGCATTTGTCACTCCCCCATCTTCATGATAAAATTTCATATTTTAGCAACACTGTTACCATGCAGGTTTCACTTGCTCAGTTCAAATCTTGAATGAAACATAAACTATTCTGAATAAAGTATTTTTTGTTTTCAAGCTTGAGGGACCAGTGTGTAGATGGAAGGATAATATTTAAATGGGTTTTAAGAGAAACTGATCATAAAGGAGGGACTGAATTTAACTGACTCTAGGGTCAAAACTTGGACTTTTATGAACATGGTTATGAACCTTTGAAGTCCATAAAAGAAAATAATTTCTTGGCCAGCTGAATAACTATCATCTTTTCCAAGTAGACTCTTCATTATAGAGTTAGTTTCTTAATAAATTAATTCATAAGTAGTAATCAGTCATTACATTATTATTATCATTATTATTATGTTGATCATCATCCAAGTCTGGGGTATATTTGACTTCGATTTGCACAACTTATTAGGAGTCTTCAGGAGATAGACTGCCACTTATTTTTATTTTAGACATCAGTGGCAATAATCAGGAATGTGTTCAACACCCTTTGAACAACAGTCATGTATGCTAACTATTGGACCAGCCTAGAATTCAAAGATTTCTGGGTTTGATCCTGGCCATTGCCACCACTGTGCAAGATCAAAGAAAATAAAAAGTGTCCCTTTATAATTACAATGAATCACCTGAATACGGAAGCAGAATTAACTCCCAAAACATCCAATATGATAATGTTCAATATAACTGTAATGCAATGAATCAACTATTGCCATATCCCTTTAGAGGATCATGTAATTAATTAATTTTTTAGAGAAGTAGACCAGTTATTGAGAGGGGAATTAGAGGTATTGAAAGCTGCTTTGGCACGTGATCTTGCAAGTAAGGGCAAGAAAGCATGCAAAGCCAGCAAGAAGGTCGAAGTGGAAAGAAGCGTAGGAAGAAGAAAGAGAAGGATCTGACACCTGATCAAACACTAGAGTCTCTGTTTGAAGAACTTGTTACTAATGGTATCATTCTCGAGTATCCTGAAGTTCAGCTATCCGAGTTCCGAGGGGAGCGCTCATATGCTACAAACGACCTCCATAAGCAAGGCAAAGACCCACTGCCGTCGCTCGGAGATATGTCAGGTCATACTAGAATACTGCATCCTCCCATTGGGATCTAAAACAGTTCACCAAATGGCAACATTGGTCAAATCAGTATTGCTGGCAGGATCATATGGCAGTGGTAAAGACATGTTGGTGCATGCTGTGTGCACAGAGATTGGATTGGTGTTGTTTGACCTCTCACCTGCAAACATCACTGGAAAATCTGGGCTCATCATTCTGGTGAGTTATCTCATTGGAAATAGGTTCATTAACATTCTCTTCTCGATGTTAGTTAGTCTGGGCTGCTGACAGTATTGTTAAATAAACTATAAATGATGTCACAGGTTACAGTGGCTCTTGACAGGGTTTTGGATTGGTGATTGGATTTACTGGCCACTTTAACACACAACTCATAACTACACGTACATTTAATTATAGCACAATCACTGATCTTTCCACTTTATACAGTTCACTAGCGCACACAGTCTAGCATTTTCAGTCTGTTACTAGAAGTTTCCTAGTAACAGCTTCTAACAAGGGCTATTCCTCTGCCTCTGTGCTCAAGTCCTCTCTGAATTGCAGCTCCCTTCCCTTCCAACTAACTAGTCTTGCTTCAATTGGCCTTATAGTCCCTTTGCAAGGACCAAGTAGAAAACACTGTTTCTCTGTTGCTGTATCATCATTGTGTTCGTGTCCCACATGACTGTTACTCAGCCAGTCCACTGGCTCGCTAGTGGCTACATTCACAGTTCTTATAGATGAAAAAAAATGGGTGTAAAATAAAATGGACTTAATTGTATACAAAAACATTGGAAAGGGTGTATTACATAATGTGCTAACAGAATTACCAATGTCATTCTTCAAGTTTTATTAAGTTTATTAAAAATGATAATTAAATGCAAATTCATGACTCTTCCATATCAAATTTAAAAAATATCTATGGGTTCAATTTATGGCCTTACACAAACTAGCTTTATAATAGACTGGTATACCTGAAAATCAGAGTTACCTTACAGGATTTAGTAAATTCTTTCTTGCTGAATTTCAACAAAATCTGTTGAGTCAATTTAAGGGATACATGGAAATATCCATACATGACTTTTTACAAACTGGGCTTTATTACATATCACTATGGTCAAAAATCATAATTTGCCAGGAACCTCCGTAAAAAAAATCTGTAGCAACACATGAACTTCACCTTCTCACAAGCAGATAAGCACAAAGTACAAAAGACTGGTAGCTGGCAATGTTACATTTAAACATTAAACTGTTTACCAACATTGATTTTGACAACTGTAGTAGTTTAGAAGGGGCTAACCAGTTCATTGTGGCTCCATGATTTGAAACTCCACTAGAGCATGTTTGATGTTGATTTATAAATGACTGTGCTGAATAATGAAAACAGTTTTATTCATTACATGCCACATAAAGATTTTGAAATAAAAAGTAAACACATTTGGTGATAGATTTGCCAAAAGGCACAATATAATTACATCTCACTTTACTTCTCACATAACACAACAGTGAAAGAATATGATTTGTTATAATGGCTATAGGTTATCATAGCTAATAATATTGAGCTATAAGACAAGAACAGCACAGCAGCAGTATTTATTCTGGTGACTCCTGAAATGGATAAAATGAAGGAGATCAGTCTTGCAAAAAGGCACAATATTTGTTCTTTCCAACTATACCTGCTAACTGTATTGTACGATATCAACATACAGGCTTAATAAAGCTAAGAGTACCCATTATCACTAGTAGACAAATGCTTTATGCAGCACAGTTTGCATTTAAAACCCTATTACACTACATAGTTAACAACTGAACTTTGCATTAACCCTTTTGCTGTTGGATTAAATTCAACTTTAAAATCTTTTATGAGAATTATTTACTTCATATTCCATTTTGTCGTAAAAAAATTCAATCCACTGAGTTAACTATTTTTTTCAACACCTTGAGAAGAAATTCAATTATATTTAGAAATCCCTAAACATGTCACCCCCACCCCCCCACCACCCTACGTTTTCAGAACCTTAAAAGGATGAACAGTTCTTCAACACTTAATGTAATATACATAAAAATGAATTTATCTGTCAGTACTTCATCAGTTTCTTGCTTCCTAGTATGGATCCAATAGCCATAAATTAAATTTATTTTGTACTATACCAAGAATCTATGATAACTGATGTTGCAATGCTGGTGGGGTTATAGTCTGTGATGCGGTTCAGACCTGAATTAAATTTATTCTGATTTTATGCATAAATATTATGCCAAAGAAACAATTAATTACATGTATACCTTAATTTCTCCAGTTTATATGTGTAAATATTGTGATTCAAAACAATTCCCAGTCAGTGAAATTGGGTCACCATTGCTTTCTTCTAGAATATAAAGTAATTCACAAATGCCAAATGTGTGTGAAACTTACTGAACATTTTGTTCTGGATGAATTCTGAAATTCTTATTTTAAGATCAACAGTGTGGTACATTTATTTCTTGAAAATCCATGTTTATTTGTGCACATCTATCATTATACACTGTCAAATCTTTCTCTGCCAGATTGTTATGCCATGTGCTACCTGTTAGTGTGTGTCTGTTTAAGTTGATGGTTATAGCATTTTGTAAAAAAAGTCTTCTAACATATTATTCAGCATCCAATGCCACACAAAGGAATCAGCTTATTTAATTCTTTTTTATTTTTACTAAGGAATGAAATGTATGATGACCAGACATTAACAATGAACACAGCATGTAGATATTCTCTTCCTTGAAGTTTTATATACTGTGATACTCATTTGTGTCATGTAAAAGAAAGATTCTATTAAGCCAGTTGATTAATGAAAGTGAGAAAACGTAGAATGTCATGAATGAGAATTCACTACTATTTTAACTCTATGAGCATATATAAAGCATCCAGTTAGTGTTATCTTGCATAAAGAAATCACTGTACAAATCTCTTCAAAATTGTTGGCATATAACTGTAGAAAACACAGGACAGAGATATGAAGAAAGCCTGATTTCCTGGAAATTCTAAGAATATGTGACCTTAATTATGACCTGTTAAGCCCAAGACTTGGTTAATGCCAAATTATCTTCATAACTGTCTCAACTTGTAATGTTTCAGCAGTTACAATTAACATTTTGTGTAGAGAGTTTAATTTGAAGAATTATAATACTCTGAAGTGTTTCAATGTGCTATTCATAAATATCTACATCCATGCAGCAAAATATTTCAAGAAGCAAAAAGTCACTCAGACAGTAAAAAAATTCCATCTTTTATGGAACCTGAAGGTTTAGTACATATTCACAAAGAGTCCATCACTGGTACCTTATCCTGAACCACATTAATTCAGTCCACACCCCCACAGCCCCACACCCTGACTATTTAGTATTATCCTCCCAGCTACACCTTCCAAGCGTTCTCTTCCCTTCAGGTTCTCAGACCAAAATCTTGTACAAACTTCTCACCTCTCCTGCGGATGCTACATGTCCCATCCATTGTCATTCTTGATTTTATATTAATAATGTTTTGTGAACATCACAAATTATGAAGATCCTCATTATGCAGCTTTTCCAACTTCCCATCACTTCCTTCCTCGTAGGCTTAAGTATTCTCTTCAGCACCCTGACCTAAGACATTCTCAATCTATCTACTTCCGTCACTGTCAGATGCCATGTTTAACACTCATACAAAACTACAGATACATATTGTGACGTATTGCGCTATGGAGGACATCCACTCCCCCACCAGCGGTGACGTAACATCAGGTGCTGTCGCTACTACAGTAACAGGCCAGTCAACAATCCCCCCCCCCCCGGTGACATAGCGTGGGATACCGCAGTTGTTACACAGCAGTAAAAAACTCTCGACAGTGTTGCTAGGCAACACCTGTAAACATGACGTCAGGCAACAGCGGTACCTATCACGTAACTGTTTTCTGCGTTGTCCCTGCCAAGGCTAAATAAGGAGCAACGAACACTATTCAGTCAGTATTGTGTTATGAGAGAGTTACTAGCAGTGAGCGATTTGTGAGTGAGGACTGAGCCAGTTGCAGTCTAGCATTCGCCGCAGTGAATGGCAGCAGGAGAAGTAAATGTGATACTGCAGATGGCAGTAACTGTAAAATTGTAAACTGTGTAAATGTAGGAGTGAGTACATAAAATTCACTATATCAAATCCATGACCAAGGGCTGTTTCAAAATACTTATCAAGACATATTTCACACAAGTTTTAACAACTGGTTACTCTATATCATAAGTCTTCTTAAAACATAATAATGATGGTTTTAAATGTGTATAACGTTTCTTGACAAACAAAATAATACCAGAACTTATATATACATGTATCTGTATTCCTACAATTTTCAATTACACTCAAGTGGGAAAGATCCAGAAATTAATCCCATAGTGTGGCCTGAAGCTGTGAAAATAAATCTGGAGGATTCAAGCAATCAAATAGGGCAGCAAAAGGGTTAACAAAAGTTAAACTATTGTACATAGTTCATACTGATAACTGCTGTGCTATATGTTTCTCTTATTAGATTCTCATAATAAGCAATAAACAATAGTATCCAGATGCGCTCATAAAGCTTACTATGCTTGAAAGTAGAACGATGAAAGCTGTAATGAGTGCAAGAGTATTCACGATTTCTGCCAAAACAGAGAAGAGCCATGAATAATACAATACATTGGATTGCATTATTCTACGGCTTTTGAAAGACTTTAAGCTAATACTGTAGAGATATAGTAGGCCTTTTTAAGGTACCCGTATAATATTCTTACATACTGTAACATACTTAGTTTTCAGAATTATGTAGGCTACCCATCAAACTGGAAATTTTATATGGACATGGGTCTGCAAAGGCCATATTACTGATAAGATGTCTGGCTGAATTCTATGTAATAAATGAAATAACATAAAATTTATTACATATTCAGATGCATATTTACAGAAGCCAAACACACCTAAAAGAAGGTAATTTATTCTAGAATAACGCTTTCAGCTGATAAGATAATATAGTGTCAAATTATATGGCAATAAATGAATAATGAATTGAAAAGCACGTGGAAGGAAGAAATCATGGTCCAATTTATGGCAGAATTCCAGGATTTACCTGGAAATACCAAGAAAACCATGACAAACCTGTCAGGATAGACAGTCTGTGAGCCAAAATTTAGTCACAAAACTTGCTCAATATGACACAAAAATGCTATCCATTTGACTGTGGCATTTGGTCTTAAGGAAGGTGTCAGAACTGTTCACCATTAATGTAAATGCAAGTGTGAATACAGCTTCAATACATTACCATTTCAATGCTATGGAAACATATGTGGTTTGTACTATTATGCAGTCTACTTGACATTTGCTAGACATATGATACCATGGTAGAAAATAGCAGGAAAGATATGTGTATATTTGTATTAGAATTTTGTGAATTTAATGGTAAGTAAGAATAAATTATTGTCTGTTTCTTGCAGTGTCATGTATCAATTAAGAGGTTAGCATACACTGTTATTGCTTATATGAAGTTCATAATGAAAGTTAATCTAAATGCTGTTAACACACAGAGGAAGAGTTTATTAAAAATGTGTGATATAAGAATTAAACAATGTAATTATTTCTCTGCAGTTTAATTTAAGAGAAACCTAGGCAAAGAGTAGGGGATTTAGAATAAGTTGCATTTAGTGTACAAGTGTCTATCCAATTTCAGCAGCCTTTACATCATTAGCAGAGTCTTTGCAGACCTGTGTTCACAGGGGCTTCCCAACCCAGCCATTACCTCAGAGTAAGTCCATAACATCAATGAAACATCCCATGTAACAGCACTGATCCATACATAGATATTAAAATGGATTATGTTTTGTTTGTACAGGCAAACTAATAAATAAATAAAACTGCTGAGCTTTAAAATTTATCTTCAGGCACCTGGGTCCCATTATACTACAGCCTCTGTGTTGTGAGACTATTGTACTGAGGTCTTTTCAAAAAGAGTGAAACCAGCAGTCAATTTTGAAATCCAATATCTATGTTGTTCAAGTCCTTTGAGATTCTAACAAACAGATTCTCAATTTCATGATATTCTTAGCTATTCAGCTGCCATACACAAGTCAGTTAACTTTGCTAGAATAATACAAAACCAATACAATTTGCAAACCTAACGTTTAACCTGTGCCAAAGAATTTCCTTCAAGTACCAAATGGCACAAAAAAAAAAAAACACAGGGATTTCAGTTTTATGGATGGTGAGAGATTTTATTTGCTTTTATCAATATAATTATTGACTTTCTGGACATTATCCACTGTCCTGTTTTTAATTTAAAGCCGTTTTGGAGACTGGACGCTGTCTACATTCTCAGGTAAAGCCTGCTCAGTTGGGCCCAACTGACAGAGCTAGTCTCTGTTTCCCAAATCTGAAGATAATGCCCAAAATGTTAGTAATTGTCAAAGATCCATAGCACTTACATCATGCAAGTTTAGCCTTAATGCTTCCATGTAAAGGAAGGGTGCCAGATGTACCCAAAATTTATTATTTCTATTCCTATCAGTATATACAGGCTATTCCAGATACTGGCAAATTACAAATTTATGACACGTTTCCTCTTTCTATTGCTTTTAACATCGTCAGGGCTGCTAATTGAGATGCCTACATTTCTCAGTGTCTCTTGATGGATCATAATACATAGCAAAGACCATAACTAATGTCAGATGTTCATGCAAAAAACAACTCCCTTTTCTGAAGAGATATACTCATACTAAAAATGCAGTAACATATTTATTTTTACACTGATCCAATTTTATAGTGCATATTTCTATCTTCTGAACACATGACCACAAATGTTTATTTAAAAAACTAATATAACATAACATGACAAAATCTTAAACTAGATAACTATTATGGAACAATTTTCTGGTGTATGATATGTTAATCATTGAGGAATTAGAACGTGAAACCTAATTATATATCAGTAAAGAAGTAAAACTGTCCCTGTAACGGGCTGTGGAGGCCCATAGGGTTGTGAGATGTCAAGGCTCTTGTATTTTCTAGATAATCAGATCCACGTGGTGGTGAGGTTGTCAGCCTTACATGCCAGCAGCCCTTTAACCTCATCAAGATTCCTGGTACTTGTTTCTGTTAGAGGCCAAGTCAACCCCAGGGCCACAGTGTGGCTGGAATGATTAGGTCAACTGAAAACTGTACTGACATCAGGAATCGAACCCATGACCTTCTGACTTGTAGCATAGTGCAATTACATACCATTAATGCACATATATGCCACACATGCTCAATCTTTCAACTGTCAAGTTTTCTGAAGGGATAATGTTGCAGTGGTGACTGTATTCTTGCAATTTATAGTTTATTCAATGCCAAAGATGAAACATCAGAAAGCAGTCAGATTTAGTAATAGCATATGGGATTACAACTGATAAAAAGATTTACTTCATTAATACTGATACACAGAGACAAATACCACTTGCTTACTCCTTTCTTGTCATATGTTGTTGTACAATCAACATGAAGAAATGAACAGGTTGTTCTATAGGTAATGTTCTAGAACCATATTTGGGAGATGCACAGCTCAAATCTCAGCTGGGTCACCTGCTGTAAAGACTGTGATTTCTCATGGTTTTTCTCAGTCCCCCAGGAAAATACCTCGATTAAGCCATAAATGTTTTGCTACTACATAACGCTATATGGTCACCACAATGAAAGTACTGTTAAGTATCCACAAAAGTAAATCAATAAATGAAAAAGCAAAAACCATCCTGAATATGCTTCTATAGTCAGACATAGATACATCATCGACAAACTCCTTTCTTTTCAACAAGCAAATAACCTGGCTGCATAAACTGACATTTGATGCAATGCACAGGATTAATACAACATTCATATTGCTGTAACTGAATACCTATTACATATGACCCACAATAAGCACTTGCAATCAGTGTCCTCAGCACCTATGTTGAAAATAACAGACTCCTGTTTAAAAGTGATACTTATTTTATGTATCAAAATAAAAGTTTTAGTGCATGAACATCTGTGATCTTAGTCATAACTATCATTCTTACCATTAATAGGTTGGGTAGTGGAGGTTCTACTGTACATATTTATCTTAAGCAAAGTGTAATAGTCACCTGTTTCATAAGAGATGAAGTTATGTCCAGTATTCATCTTACTAACACATCAACTCTTATTGTAAACCAATAGTAACAATTAGAGAAAATAACAACAGCATGCCTAATCTTTAGAATTTGCACAGTGTGATTAATAACCTCTAATATTTACTTTTTAATACAACTGTTATCCTAAAGAGAAAATGAAGAAAACCTCTTCAAAGTAATCACCTTCCATACAACATGCAGTTGTTTTACACATTTATAACAATAATGTATGAAATTCATTACAGTGTACAGTATTTTTTGTTAACGTTCTCTGCAGTTTGAAAGAAAAGCACCAATGTAGGCAGTGTCTGAAAATTTTCAGATACTGGATACACTAGAATAGCTTCTGTACAACTTGAGATCAGTAATTTATGTAATTCATACTTTATAAATTTAGAATAATTAAAGGCAAGTAAACATTAGACCTTACCTATATCTAAAGATATGGCTATCTAAAACACATTATACATAATCTTGATACATAAAGGCAAGATACAAAGAGGAGTAAATGATCTGCTATAGCTGAAAACATTCTTGGACCATGTTTGATATTAAACTCATGAAGTATTAGTGTAAACTGCATGTACAAAGCAATCGTGGATCTTAAAATACGCATGCAAAACGAAATTTACCTAAGCATTGGGCACTAAACTCTTTTCAGGTATGTACAAATTATATACCTGAAACTGTCACCTCCGATTCTGCACTGGCTAATACGGTCCACATACATATATCAGACCTGGATTACTGGTGAGTTCAGAATCACTAAGATATTCCACATTCCAACACTGAGTGAACACCACGGGCTCTTACCTTTCTTGTCCATAAACGCCTAGAAGTACAACACAACTGAACAAGTAATGATAAATAAAATACTGTAATTTTAGTAATCACAGGGGGAACATTTACTTTTCTTGAAGGGAAGAGGGTTTATAATACTGTCTTTCATTTAAATTAGGTCCCTCTCAACTGATTCTTCCCTGCATTAAATTGGGCTCCACATCCATTCAACAATTTTGAACATTATTATTATTATGAATGTGACTTACATTCAGTATAATTTACACTTACAGGAAGACTGCAGTCACAGCATGGTATATAAGGAAAAAGTGAAAGTTAACTGTAACATTAAAGTTAGTACATGGTAAAGGTCATGCCATAGCTCAGGCAGTTAGTCACCAGCTTCCCACCACAATGGCCTGGTTTAAATCCCAGGACAGGTAATGTGGGATCTGAAGTGGACAAAGTGGCACTGGGGCAGGTTTTCTCTGAGTACTTCAGTTTCCCCTGCCAATCCTCATTCCACCGACTGCTCCACACTTACGAGTATCATCATCATCGTCATCATCTATGTTCCAAGGCTGGAACAAGAGGCCAAATAGTGACTGACATACCAAGTGGACTCAGTTTTACCTCATCCTAAGAAATTTAAAAAAAAACCTCTAATTAATGACTGAACCATGAAAAAAATATATAAAAATAAACGTCTTTCTATTGGAAAGCTTAGCATGGTAAAAAGCGTCCAGTATCCTGCTACTATGTGGGCAAAACTGTAAATTTCGTTATTGGACTGATAGCCATATGTACATACAAATTTGAACCAAAGTCTACTGGTATAGTAAAGAAAGCATACAGTATTAAGAACTACAGAGAACAAAACTGGAACAATATATATTTATTCTCAGAACTATTAAATTAAAAAAAATAAAGTAGTCCATGCATTATGAGAAAGACTGTCTAAAGAAGTGGTGGGGGGAAGAAGAGGTTTCTTAAGAATTACAGAAGTCCATGCTTCGTTACCTGCTAAACAGCGACCAAAACTAACTAACTCCATGGAGCAGAGTCCTTCTTGAGGAACTAATAGTTGCTCACCTACAAGAGAAACTGAAGAAATTGAATCCAAGCAACTGCAACATTCACAAGCACCTGCAGTATGTACTGACTTGTTCTCTTATATTATCCATGTAGCCATTTAAATTTCGGTATGCTTTTAAATTTTGTCTTCAATGGTTTTGAAGTATGATTTATTCAGGAGTAAATCTTATGTATATATTATATATGTATCTAGCACAAAGGACACACAAAACAGATGCTACATTTTGTGGTTCTGAATACTCATTCTTTACTTTTATAACATCACATCCATGTTCATAGGTTACATGCACACTAAAACTGTTTATGATGATGATAAAATAAAGCTTCATAAAGGCAGGGGAGAAAATGGTTATGGCCTAAATCTTATGATACAGTACCAATATTTGTCTGCTGTGGTGAAGAAAAATGACAAAATTTACAGTACTATTTAGCTTCAAAATTTATAGTACTATTTAGCTTCACTAGAAGACTGTCAAGCTTTCTGCATCAGTTTTAATTCTTTATCATTCACTCAGCAATCAGTCACCAATCTTACAATACTGTCCTGCTGTAAAAGTTCAAGAAAGATGGATGCTGTTACAGTCTGTGAATGAAAGTATGTATACACTTTTATAATAGCTCCAAATATCCTGCCTATGCCTAAGAAATCATGAAAGATAACGTCAATTTTCTACACAATAATCATACCTCAGTTGCTTTCTGAGCTACCAGAAGGTGATTTACTATTATATCCACTGTCACACAGATTACATTGATGAGTTTTAATAATCAGACTTGATACTTGATGAATATCTCCATCCTCTAGAACTTCTTTTTCTACCTTCAAAGGTCCTTTACATGAAGATACATCTGTAGAAGAGCAAGAACAGAATAAATATGTTTATAAACTTCATGCTTAGCTCTACATTACGGAGTATGCAGAAGGTGTAGATGCAAAGCTTCATGCATTCATAACTTTGACACTAGGCAGCCATCTTCATTCCAGGTGAAAAAGGTGCCAGTACTACACTGACTTCCAGAAACATGACACTCATATAGCAAATATAATCATAACGATTTTTCAGTATGTTTAAAAACAATTAAGGGTATTTAAAAGGTATTATGTATAGAAGACAAATACAAATGAAGACAAATTACTGAGATTCTGTTAGTACTGTCAATAGCGATCCAGAAACATTGCAAATTGACAATAAAAAATGTAATTCATTTGGGTAATTTTAGCTTGAGATAAAAATATGTGCTTGAAAACTCTTCACACAGAATGTGTCTATTAGTAAACATGTATGATTAGGCTGGCTAACTTCCTTTACTCCCATTAACTACATACCTTCTTTTGTATCACTATTTCTTTGGCAATATCCATTTCTGCTTTCTAAAGGAACTGTGTAATGCTGACTAGCTTCTTTATCAACAATTCTTCTAGCTGGTGGTCCAAACCAGCTAAGTGCAATGGGAAGGAACACCAACCCATGAAACATACCAAACACCACTACTCCTGCGAATAACTGAAAACGAAATTAAAGTAAACTTTTAACACAGTGAAAATGATATAAATGCAAAGATTTTATATGGCCTTCAAATCTAGACTATTTACAAAATATGCAAACAAATTGTTGTTCAGATAGACAGACTAGCCTAAAAGCAAATTTGGACTCCTGTAGTTTCCGTCTAGGACATTTTAAAAAAGTGAAATTCATAACCTTAATTTAGGAACATCTAGGATTTTAGTATGAGATAATACAAGGGACACCAAAATTTAAAGCTTTTTCTATATAGTTACTAAAATGTCACAATATGAAATAAAATATTACAGAGAGAATCCATAATATGGAAAATTTTGTAATAAGGGGAATCTCTAAAAAAAAAAAAAAAAAGTTACATTATATACAATGTCTCACAAGAACTTTCTGCCACATATTTCTACTCTGAAGATGAAGACAGCAAGTCCACCGAAACATTGTTACCTATGTACTCAATTATATGCTTCATAACCCCAGAAGACTGTAGTCTTTAACATTCACCACTGTGAGAATCTCAGATCTGATTGGTGTACAATAAGTTTATGGCATAATACAGGTAGTAAGAGATGAATTTTCCATGAATTAAAATCGAAATTGAGAATACTTAGACAACATGAAAAGATAGGAATATCACTTTTTTTTAATTAAAGATACAGGGGATATATCACCCAAGGATACTGGGCCTAAGGAATCAGTTGTATAAATACAGCCTATACTGGTGTCACGTACGATGGGGTAGTACCCAAAAGAAAGCGAACTAATTTTTTTGTGGGCAGAGCTTTTGTAGTACTGCGTTTTGCCGCTATGAGCACATAGAGCTAACATTCCTGAGTTGATAAGCCGACTACCGTTGCTTCAGAAGGTAAGGACTAGTTTCGGCAGAGTTTATAGTGACAACTGTTTTGTGTGATCGTCGTTTTTGCAATGGCCCGAACACATGAAAATGTTGAAAAAATTCATGAAATCATCAAGGAAGATCGTCGACGGACCATTGAAGAAATTGTGGAGCTGTCGGGAGTGACTTGGAGCTCAGTTCAGCAAATTTTGACAGAAGATTTGGGAATGAAAAGGGTGGCTGCGGAATTCGTGCCACGACTGCTGACTGCTGAATAAAAACAAGGTCGCGTGGAAGCATGCTGTGCTTTGAAAGAAGAGTCCCGAAATGATCAAACTTCTTTTTCAGCGTTTTGCTGATGTTGCTGAGGTGAAGGAAAAAAACGACAGAGGCGCTGTCAAGCATCTCAAAAGATGAATTTAGACAATGTTTTGAAAAATGGAATAAAAGACTAGACAAGTGTATTAGTGTAAGTGGAGAATACTTTGAAGGGGACTGAAGGTTTGTGCTTAAAATTTGAATAAATAAGTTAAAAAAAAAGTTCGGTTTCTTTTGGGTACCCCCTCGTACAATATCAATACCTGATGGAGTGAGTTTCTGGAACGAAAATCCTATCACCTTAACATAGTCGACTTACTGCTTTGTTATAAATTTATATGCATCTGACTGCCAGATTCGAGTTACATTGTGACAATTCCTGACAGATGCTACAGAACACAGATCAGAATAACCGATTTACAGAAACTGAAGTATAAAAATTAAATATGTATTAGAGGAAATACAGATTACAATTGAAATACTCTTCTGGGAAATCTGCTGTGTCAATAAGGAGTAGAATTCTGATGTTTCAAAGAATGTCTCTGCTTCTTTCATCAGCAACTTTCTGAGCCAGCTATCACCCGAAGAAGCTTCACTACATTAAGTCGTATAAAATACTTAAGATTTTATAAAGATGTTAATTAATTGCTGAATTTGTGAATGGTAATGAATTATATATTTTATTTAATTATAAAAAGTAAATATTTAGCATAGAAAGGTAGTGAAGAAATATATAATTACTTCCCTCTAATAATATAAAATGCCAGAATAATGCTAAGTCCACTGAAGCAAGTTAAAAGACAAGATAATTTATTTAATTATTACTAAGCAGTAACATTTACCTTAAAAAATGTAAAGAAGAGATATGAATCACTTCCACCTAGCAATACAAATGCCAGAAAAGTGCTGAGTCCACCATTGAACACTGCAGACCCAATCATAACCAGTGTTTTAATGGCTCTCTCTGCAACAGGTTTGACATAAAGTACAAATCAGCTACTTATATTAGTATCAGTTATCATAAAACATTCAATAGTGTATAACTCACATTTATAAACAAAGAACTATAAATTGTCTGATATAACCATATGTGACAAACTAAGTGAGATAAATTAATTTTAGATTAGTCTTTGTAGTGGAGACATGAGGAAAACATCAGATATTTCTGTGATTAGAACTCATAAATAATCACAAATATGGATCGAATTAAGTTCAAACATACAAAAAGAGTCAGAATGCTATCTTCTAATTCACATCATACATTTAGTAGTTCCATACTTAGAAACAAAAGAGTATAGGAACAAACTCTGAAATGTGCATGACAGTAGATTTCATGCTTAGTACCCAATGTAAGGTGGTTAAATTGCCACATCATGCATTTCACAGTAACTCATGTGAAAGGGTAAACATATGTTGAGAGATGTGTTCCACTGCAGCATGCATTCCTTCAAAATGCATTCTTTGCTACTGGTCTTGATTTTGGCCTATTATAGGTACAAATCTATAACTGCAAAGACAATTACATTGCAGATTTCACATTGTATAGAGTCAGAAATGATTTGGTACTGTATATCTTTAAATATTCTCTACATAAAAAATGTTTCAAATAAAAATTGAAGAGTTTAATAACATTTATAAAGGTGAAACGGCTTGAATGGGCTGAACATACAATATGTGCCAGCAAGAATAGAACCATCAAGAAAATGCTTAATACTAAACCAGAAGGAAACAGGAGAGTGGGAAGACAAAGGTTAAGATGGGAAGAATGTGTGTGGCAGGACATAAGAATTTTGGGTATAAAGAACTGGAGGAATGTAGCATCGAATAGAGAAGAATGGCGAGCAATCCTGAGGAAGGCCAGGGCTCACAAAGGGCTGTCGTGCCGATGATGATGATGATGATGATGTTTAATAACATAATGTATTTTAGGTTATGGTGCCAATATTTTGATGGGATGATTTTATTTTTCCAGAAAGACCATGAAGTTTGTGCATTTGATCAAAACAAAAAGTAAATGGTGTAACCCCCCTCCCCAAATCAGATTCAGCCAAAATCCATTCAGTAAATTTAGAGCTACAACATGTGTGTAACAGAGCTAGCTGTATCTCAAACAGTAAAATTTCTGACTTAAATTCAGGGGGCTGCAATCTTAAATCTCAGCAAGGACACCTGCCATCCTGAAAAAAAAAAAAAAACTGAACATGGCTTTCCTCAGTCCCTTCAGGAAAATTCCTGGATAGTACCCCAAATTAGGTCATGAATGTTTCCTTCCAAATCCTTTCCAATTCGTTATTCACTGATCATCCTACCATTTGACATTATACAGTCTGAGCTCCCAGTATCAGCATTAAATAAACCACAAATAAATAAACAAAAAGGCATAATTTCCCTATATGAACTCATTTCATATACTTTGCATAAAGAGTGGATACTTATAGTGGGTACGTACAGATGCCATGTCATCCATGTACAATGCCTGACAATAAAATTAGCGAACTAACCATCATGTACTTGCCATGGCAGTAGTGGACAGAAACCTCAGTATGGTTTGATAACGCTGGCATATCAAGCTTACTATTTGGAAGTACTGTAAAGGCTGTGTGAAAGAGTTAGATGGAAACGACCTGAAATTTCTGCCAACAACGCATGGATCTTGCATCACGACAATGCACCTGCTCACACAGCACTGTCTGTGAGGGAGTTCTTAGCTAGTAAAAATTACTGTCTTGGAACACCCTCCCTATTCACTGGATCTAGCCCCCAATCATTTTTTCTGTTCTAGAAGATAAAGGAAATATCAAAAAGAAGGTGTTTTGATGACACTGATAACATCCGGAGTAATATGACGGCAGCTCTGAAGGCCATTCCACAAAACCACTTCCAAAACTGGCTTCAAAGGTGGACTAGGCTATGGCATCGGTGCATAGCTTCCCTTTTACCACGAGTTCGCGAACTTTACTGTCAGACCACATATGAAGACATAATGTTCTCATTTTTCCACATTAAAATTGATACTAGTTCTGATTAAATACGCAGAGAAAAAGTCTCAATTTGTAATAAGATTAAGTACCATCTCTAGTTCCCTGAAGACGTGTGAATTCATTTCCAATGTGAGCTGAGTAGTCGACAGCCAAGCCTGCACAAAGCAATATCATGATAGATGAAGAGATCTCAATGGTAAGATCAAGCCAGTACATGGAGCCCACAAGATCCACAACTGTGAATATTACACAACATATCACCCAAAATGTTGTCTGCAAGTGCTGAATGAGAATCAGCGTCACAATGGCAACTGCACAGATGGTAAGCCCCAAGTTTCTAAGCAGTTCATCACCAATAATCTGTAAACAAAAGAGCTGCATTTACTAACAGATTCACCAAGCTCTCCAAGGTATAGTTAACTATTTGCATGCCCTGAGCCAATTAAGATTGGCTTGCCAAACTTACATAAAAAATACCACATCCAAAGAGGCTGGCTTGGTATTAGTTACTAAGCAAAATTTCTGTCAGCAGATAGCATCAAGTGTGGTATACCAATCTTTACAAGAAAGAACATGTTTTCCCAGTATATATACCCATGGTCTTATGTAGGTAATCTGATGAAGTATTGTGGGTATTTATAGCTGGTAGTTCCATAGCTGGATTTGGTAGTCAAAAGGCAAAGTTCCACTGCCATTACCATGTCAATTCAAAATAAGAAGTGCAATCACTTTTGGATTAAAGCATTGTTACTGAGAGCGCTGAATACTTACGCAGTCAGAACTACTCCATTCCATCTCTTTCAATAAAATTATACCTTCTAAAGCATTATATTCATTAGTATGACCACATTTATGATGTAGGCTCATCATTCCCAGGTCATTTATGTGATATGGTCAGAAGACACAAAACACTTAGTACTTCTTGGTTAAAAGCACTCTCTGAAAGTGAATGGCCAAATCAGAGTGCCATCTTTGATATTACATACTATAACAGTAGTTCTTTGAACTTCATTTTTGAAGACAAATTAAAGAAAATTACTCATGTTCTTCTGGCTTGTAACGCTGTGCAGTTTGGAAATAGCCCAATGTTTTGAAGGAACATATATTCAGGGTCAAAGAGTAAGACAAGTAAAAAGTCAGAAAGATGCAGTCAATTAATTTGAGCTTTCTGCCTACTTCTTGTTGATTTCTTGCGTTTCTTACCCTTTGACCCTGAAGATGGAGGCGATATGTTCCTCTAAAATATTCGACTCTTCTGCAATACACAGCATTACAAGCTGAAAGAATAAACTCTTCAAAATGAATCATGGTTGCTTAAAAGGGATTTAAAGAAGTTTAGTTGGGCTTTCACTGAAATATCAAACTGTGACTGTTTTATAAGATATTTCATGCATGCCTTAAAAACTGTTCAATATGAATGTGAAATAGAAACAACAGATAATATATTTTTGGTAGTGTGCACAAGGAATGACTGAATCTGGAAACTGCCTATTTTGGCTGATGATTACTTTACAAAACATGCAGACACAATAACTGACTACTGTCCATGAGAAAATAAATTATTTTTGTTTGTCACAATTTTTCTTTGTTCCTCAATTCAGGAGATGCTGTTTATACTTAATCCCCTACAGAAATCCCTTAGTGTCTTCCAATGAAATTTACAACAAATTTTCCAACTCTGCCATTTAAAGAGGAACAACTATCCATGTTCTTCTCATATGATACAGAACTCACAATATGAGTAAACGGCATGCAGAATGTCAATGAGGTACGTGAACTGTTGTAACTAAAAATAATTTTACTCTACAGGCCTATTTGTCAGTTACCCTCCTACACAGTAGGCATCTCCCTATACTCTCTGTTACTCTCATATATAGAGTGTTTGTTCACAAAGTTGCACAGAAGCTTCTTTTTCATTCAGTGGCATGTGAAGTCTTTTTTCTTATCTTCTTAAGAGTCGGCATCACAACTTTAATGGAATAACTAAAAATGTCAGTTTTTTATATCCAGTAGCACAATTCCAATAGTGAACCTATACCAAAATACTTTAAAAATGAGTAACTCTTGCTTCAGTCTTTGAGCTTCCTTATGGCAGAAGAAATCCAACTCATTTCAAACCTGTGACTACTGACATATAAGATAAACAATGCCTAAAATTACACTGACAGTGAAACAGAACTGATAATTATAGCTATACAGAAATTTCACAAATATAGAAATGAAGTTGATACCAATCTATTAAGAGAAGATGCAACAAACACTGAACAAACCTTATTTGCAGTCCATGAAACATACTCAGGAGAATATGATACAATATCCTCCAGAGAGAAGTTGACGCTTCGGATTATCTCTCTAACAGATTCCATGGCCTTCACTTGCTCTGTTGTAGTGTTCATAAGGATATGCTGAATGGGGATCTGGGAAGCCTGTAAATGAAAACAACAGGGATTGCTCTTAAGTCAACTTCATTTTCAAATTTCAAATCAGAGGCTACATATGAACAAGTAAAAGGTTTCCTGTCAAGTGACTTGCATTAATTGTTAAAATATCAAACAACAATACAAATCCAAGTTCGAAACTATTTAAAACAAATTCTGGTAGTGATATATTCTCCACACCAGATGCAATGGTTATACTGTCATCAACTGTCAATTGCAATTAGGTCATAGCATTTTCTTATCGCAAGATATAATGGCTACACTGCGTGACTTCGTTATTTGAAAATCAGAAAATTAAAATAAATGACCTGTGTAGTAAGGCCAGCACCAGCAATACCATATTCAAAATTATTTCTAGTAAGCTACAGAAGAGTATTACCTAAATGGATTATCTGAGAATCTACATACACAATGTACTTTATGTTCATTTATTGCAGATAAAATTTACTATTTCAGAGCTAATCAAAACAATGCAATACGAGAGACATACAATACTTTTTCTTTTTAATAACACTGAGGTAGCAGGACTCAAAGGTTCAAAACTACTAATATCAAAGCCCACTGTTGGATATGATTTAAGAGTCCATTCTATCCATCTTCCATTCTCACGACCTACTTCCATAGGATCCCATTATAATATTAGCATTCAATCCCTTTTTCATCTTCCAAGTGTACACTTCCCATGAGGTTTGCTCTCCAAATTTCTGTATGCATTAGCCTCCCAAATCCTAGTTACATTTTCAATCCATCTAAGTCACTTACATTTCATTATTGTAAAGACAATGATAAATATTGTAAAACATGAAGGTCCTCATTACAAAATACCATTCATTGCTCACTTCATCCTTCTTCAAACTGAATATCTTCTTCATCTGCTTTTCAGATACCGTACATGTGCAGTATCTGAATGTGAGAGTGCTTCATATTCACAGAGAATAGATGTTAGGTTATTTTGTTGGATTTGAGGTTCTCACAGCAGTGTCTGTGAAAAGTACATTCTTCAAGTTTGTAATGCTGTATACTTTGGACACAGCTAGCACCTGTTTCTGCTAGTTTCTTGCTTGGCTTGCTCTTCGACCCAAAAGACAGAAGCAGCATGTATTCTCAAAACAATACGTTCTATCCAAACTGCATGGCACTACAACCCAGAAGACTGTACTCTTCAGTTAAATTATCTTTAGCAACTTTTAAAACAGAAGTAACAGTAATAGTTTTCACGATGTTAAGAACATCAGAAATAAAAGCTGTAAGTTTTACTGGAATCTGCATTTTCTGTCATGCCAATTTTTGTATGGTGAGCAATTTTTAGGAAATTTTAAAGTTGTATTTGGGCTCATGTAAAGTACAGGTTATAGCAGACCAGTACAGGCAAAATTCAATTTACATGACATGACATTTTACCAAATACTTGCTAATACCAAATTTTATTAATATTCCTTATTTAAATTAGGAGATGGCTCACTGGATGCACAATATACGTAACCTTCACATTATGCAGTCATTATGTGGTCTTCTGGGTAGCGACATCTTGCAGTCTAATAGGTGTTTACCATTGTTTTGGGTGAATCTGTTCTGTCTTTAGAATAGAAACATCTGTATTCTGAAGATGGAGACAATAGGCCCACCTAAGTCCTACTAACCACCTATCAGACTACATGGTATCACATCCCAGAAATTCACTATCTCAAGCTTGAGTGTTGTAAAAATCTCATATTCCCACTATGCATTTACATATCCACATTGTGTAAAAAAAACTGCATAATATTAGGAAGCAAAGAAATTAATTAAATCAAAGATGTAGAAACGTAGGTTGTGGCCATTCATGATATACCGGAAGTGAAAGTAAGAGTATGAATACTGAGCACACTAAGTTCATTTACTTTTGGAGTGATACTGAAGAATTATTCTGTAATAGCTAAAGGATACATTTCTCATATAGTTAACATTCGTGAATGAAACTGAATACAGTATAGTAGGTTCCCAACTTGCACGGTTAATCTGTTCTGAAGGTCTCTGTATACAATGAAAACTAGTTAATGCTAAGCTGTATACACAATAAAAGTGTACCATAACATACCATATTATAACGTATTTGAATACATAAACTTTCCATATCCACTACTAATGACCACAAAATCAAAATACATCAAATGTTTGAATACATTAAAAAAAAAATGATTATTCTTGTATCTATGGATTCGTGTAACACGTGTAATTCAGGCACTTACTGTATCTGTATACAATTACCGTGATATTGTAGTCTCCAAATGGAAAAGTAGAGAACTTTATGTCCTTTATGTAATTTTGACCATTCTGAGACATTAGAAGAAATTCAGAGATGTAACTTTTCAGTTCATCTTCATCACTAGGAAGAGAATCTGCTGCAACTGCAAAATAAATACCATGTCCAGAATCAAAATAGCTTAACCTCTATTACACCTTCGAAGAACCTAATAGAACTGCTGTTTTTTTTTTTCCTTTTTTTATATTTTTCTAATTATTACTGTTCATTATGATATAAAACACATTTACATCTATTATATATTTAGCCTTTTTCCTTTATTGATGCTTGTAATTACTAGAGAACAACCCTCTTACACGCAAGTTTTCCTTGCAACAGAACATACCGAAAGAATGAAATTGTTTATTTATTAAGACAATATTATATGAATACACTCTAAGTTATCAAAAAGTTATTAATATACAATATCTTCACCAAAAATACAAAGGTACCATAACTGGCAGTGAAGTGCGCTAAAATAATGAACCTGCATATCTGTCATATTAGTATATATTCCACTGATCAATGAATTACTGTCAAACATTTTTGCAAGTATCTGGGTTCAAACCCACTATTAGATTTTGTATCTCCTAAGATTTGTGTTGCATTCATGAAACAAACACTGCATTATATCTTCAACACAATGAATTAATGTCAAACATTTTTGCAAGCATCTGGGTTCAAACTAAAATAACACTCCAAACATTTTGTAGTACCTTCATTATTACTATACATTCTAGAATGCGATGCTACTCAATCCATCCCATGAAGACAGTACTGTACAGCAAGATATGAAAGCAACAAAACAGCACTGTACTGAAATGGAAATAGACACACATGAACCCAGACAGGGATGAAAACCAATGAATGAGGATTTTTAATTTTTTCTCCCTACTCTTTCTCCTACTTTGGAGCATAAGGCTGATTTCTCAGTTTCATGATCATTTTTTTTCATATACTGCCCTGAAATTAATGGGAAATTAATTCTCATTTAACATGTTTCTACCTAGTGAACCATATTCTTATAATTCAGAGTTTACAATAGCTCTGAGAAAATTAATTTCTCATTAATCTTAAGGTTGCTCCCATGCACACACACACACATACGCATGCATAATCCTCATTCAACGGTTTCCATTTCTGTTTGGGCTCATGTATTTCCAGCTCCTTTTCAGTGCCATGCAGTTTTGTTACTTTGTGTTTGGTGAACCACGGATGACATGTTGGACCTCAAGGCTGAAATACTGCTTTCATGTCCACATTCTGTCAATATGACACACAACTAACTCACAGATAACTTTCCCTCCCAGTGAAAGGACTGAACATTATTCCTGTATTTCAAAACTATCGCTTAAAATAACATGCTCACTCCTTCCATAATTTCAATAGTCAGACACATAAAATGCAGTAATTCTTAAATACTCACCTTTCTCATTCAGCCAATCCTGAAATTTTATATACCAGAAATCCAGTGTTCCTTTGTTGATGTACGGATTTCTTTCTAAGCGGTTATACAGTTCATACAACTTATCTTTATCTGTGAAGTAATTTATTTCACTACCTGAAACAAAGAAACACTCTGAAGAGTATGGGTTTTAAAACTCTCCTTCATGAGTTCTGCATAAAAATAGCAGTGTATTACACTTCGCACACATTAAGAAACATCTCAAATATTAACAGAAAGAAATTACTTAACTCGCATTCAGTTTCTCTGTGCATGAAACGCTCTTTTTATTTTTTAATCTTCAGTTAGTTTTACATTTAGCATATTAAAAATATTTCTCTGACACTAAAGTTTACTACATTTTTCTTAAAATGATTTGAATCAGTAACTTCCCACAGTGTTTTGTGTCAAATTAGTTTACAACTGACCTATTTAAGCATACAGCTTAATATGTACACTTTTTATGGACAAGCTGAGAGAGACAGCTAATCTCCTGAAGCTATCTCATAGGAAAGCTCACTATAAGAATCAAATATCTGTGATCTTACGTCTTTGTTTATCAAGAACACTGGGGTATGCATCGAATTATTTCTGTGATTAATACATGCATCAAATCTTAAATTAAATTTAAAATCCTACTGGATGTCCCCTTATTTTCACTTATTTCCACTTCAGTGAGTTATTTTTGCAACATGACTACAACTAAACATTATTACCTTTTGAAGTTCTTACGCCTTATAAGCAAGATCTCTTACAAAAACTGTAAAACATGTTTCAAATTAAACAAAGTAAATCATGTTGTTACATGCAGCAAAAGCTGTTACTGTTTATGAGGGCAGTAATTGAAGAATTAACCGACTAACTTCATGGGCATAATAGTTTTTGAAGAGAATAATCATTCACAGCAAATTAAAAAAATGCCCCGCCTTTTTATGGTACCTGAAGTATTATACAAGAGTTCTATCTCCTGGGATATAATGATGTGCAGTCCATCGAAAGTCAACCGATGTTGCAGGGTAATATGGCACCTCCATCTTCAAGGCCACGGAATAAGCTAAGCAAGAAACCAGGGTGAAAGCAGGTGGCAAGCAGAATTCTTCAGTTATATCTTGTACATTCTTCACCTGTTTTTTAAGAGAACAATTATAAAGAAAACACATCTAACTCACCTAAATAAATTCCTGCACGCTTTCCATACTCAGGAAAGTGCTCAGTGAGTTTGTTATTGTATTTCATGGGATATGATTCTGAATTCAGATACCACATAGGATCAAACTTCTGCTCCACTTTAAGAACAAGCCACACATTCACACTGAACAAAAGTAATGTACCAATGAGAACACAAACCTGTAATGAGGGAAAGATTAAGATTCATCAATACCATAATCACTGCACTATGCCTTACTTACGAAAAGAAATTTCCAGGAAACTGTCTAGAAGCGCTTTATGACTGGATATCCAAATATATTTGTCACATAAATGCTCACATAAGAGGTGGGAACGTAAATCACCTTCACCTGCCCTTCACTGAAAAAACCTGAAGCCTGTGCCAACTACAAAACCATCTTCTAAATGCTCCCCTCATACCTCTACATCCTATTAGTTTCTTACAAAATAATACAAGGGCACAGAAAATAATAATGGAAGCATTAAGAAACTGAGAAACAGAATCTGTTTTGGCTACACTGAAAGAACTTCAATTGGTAACATTGAATGCTTTTCTACTGTTTGTTTATACTCTGTAGTGCTCATGTAAGTGTATTAGTGACTGTGCTGAGTGACAGGCCATGTGAAAGAACTGAAAAATTGGAGACTTGTCCAATTTTGAAAGAAGACAGTTATCTTTAAATTCAGGTTCTAAATACAAAAGAACGTGATATCCCACATCTTTTCTACTATTTCTCAAGGTGGTACTGTATGTAAGTTCCAAATATGTTACTCCATGCATTAAACCATATACAGCTGCATAGTGACAGAACATCAGTTGAGATAGATTGTGTTATCCATAATATCCTGTAGTCTCCTAGATTTACAAAGCAGACAGGATAAGACAGAAGAATTTCATACATGTGATTTAACCGGAAATGCAATCCAAAGCTGCAAATGTATAATTTTCTCCTTTTGTTTTAATATACACATGCTCAAAAAGACCTCCATCACATAAAAGACACTCTTCTTATTGCCTCTTCTGATAGTGAAACATTTTTATTGCTGTATAGACATAATCTTACCATTATGTAGAAATTTAATAATAAATCAGTTGTCCTCTGAGCATACCCACCTTGACAGGTGTCTTCATCATTGTGGGGCCAACATATTTGTTAAACACCATTTTCTGAATGTTCCGCTGACTGCATTCATTTGGTTTCCAGTTTCTGTGTACTATACAAATGCACCCATCTCTTCTGCTTCGCAGTCTTCTCTCATCAATTGCTAAGCAACTCACAAAGAAGAGAATCTCGAACACATACAGGAAGATGATACCAGACGCTGCGAACATGCAGAATGATCTCAGGAATGGCATAATCTGGAACATATCGATAATCACATCACCATCAAAACTCTGTGATTCTTTATATTTTATTGGCTCTGATATTTGTTTATTGCAGCTCCGATGTCTAAATATAATTCAACTCCAGATTATCACACTACACAATCAGAAATGATTTTTCCTGCTGCACTGCTTGCCAACTGCTTTTATGCTGGTTTCTTGCTTGGCTTCTTCTTTAACCCTCAAGATGGACAAGTTATGTTCCTCCAAAATGTCAGCTGACTTTCAATGGATTACACAGCATTATATCCAGGAAGACAGAACTCTTCACAATCACCAATGTGAGAACCTCATATCCTAAATACAATGCTGTTCTTGCCACCCCCCTCCAACTTGTCTGAATATCCAACATTCTCCTTCCCCACTGCTAGCTGGGAGACATACTCGTATGTATGCCTGCAGGCAATTTGGTGGTTCTGAAATGGTTACTGATGCCCACAAAAATTTTAAAATATAACAGCCTTCATTTCAAGTTGTCAAAGGCTTCTACACAAAACTGTGGATGAACGTGAATTTTTGTGCTATATATTACTGACCAATGAAGTAACATTCACAAGGAGGAGAATCAAATTTTTTCACAACCTTCATGAGAGGGTATTGGAGAATATTCACGCTGTTCAGCGCTCTTCATTTCAACAAATATTTAGCATTAACATTTGGTCCAAAAGATGAACAATTATGTACCTGGACCACATATAAAAGCAGATCATATAGTACACTGATTTGCTTGAAAGAACATTTTCTCTTTTACTGGAGGATGTACTCAGTTGTTGCAAGGGAATGTGGTTTCAGCATGACAGCTTGCCTAGTGCATAACTGGTTGAAGAACCATATTCCAGTCACATGGATCAGCTGTGAAGGTCTGGCTGTCTAACTTCCACATTCTTCCAATCTGAACTCACTTGATTTTCTTTATGGAGATACATCAATGTAAACATTTACACTGTGGAAGTGCAAGATCATGACAACTTGACCCAATGCTAAGAGATACTCTGCAACACACACTTTGGAAAAGGGTATGTTAGGTTCAGGTTCAATATTTAATATAAGACTACACATTATTTTTGTACAGTGGAGGTGAGGTATCATACTGTCATGCATTCATTCAGCCTGTTCTCCTGTATGACTTATTGAAGTCACCTGCAGACTACAACATAGCATTTTCTGATCCCGGCTTTCAGGGGCAGAACATGTCATTCCCAGAAGTGTTTGCAAAATTTCAAGTCAGAGGGAGGTTGTGAAAATTTTGGCAACTGAGCATATACATTATACATGATAACTATACAAATTTGAGCTTGAAGGTAATGAAGGCAAGGAATAAAATGGGGAAGAAAATGTAAATGAAGAAAAATGGTTAGCAACCATTCATCTTTTATTACTTAAACGTGTACTTCAGTTACATATTATTATTACTACTATTTTACTGCAACTGGGTGTTCACTCAGTAGCAGTGGAATAGAATATAACAGTTTTTTCAGTGAAAATATCTATCACATTGTCAAAGAGGTTTATGCTGTTTTCTAAGCCTTGCAGAATTTCTTCTCAATTGTGATAAATGATAACTTACTGACTTCTTCCTGAGTCAGAGTGTTGTGCAGGTAAGCAAGATCATCTTCAAAGCTGACAGACACAATGGTTGCTGGAGTAATTAATAACAAAGAAGACAATTCTGAGACTTCTGGTAATGCTGTACTCAGATCTGAACTGATCAAACATGTGAGCAGGTATGACAAATTACTTTGCAAAAATTCTTTGACCAGTAAGTAAAGGGAAGTTCAGTTTTCTGAAGAAAAGAGACAAAATGCAATTCATATTATTTCAAGAATGACAAATAAGCAGCCAACTGGAACTTTTCGGGATAGTGCTTATAGCTTCCAAAGTCTAGAAATGAAACAGACTTTAGCATGAGAATTTCAAGATATTGACTGGTCAAGTGTGCTTTCAGAGTGCCGACTATTTCACAATACAGCTGGTGATAACATTTCTGATCATTATTAATCACTGCAATTTGTTGCCTCTTAGCCAGCAAATCTAAGATTCTTTATCTCTGTGTGAGCAGTTCTCACTCTCTGACGCAACCTTCTAAAACTTTGTGCCGCTTTGCTAAAATATGCAGAAATTCTTCAAATTTCTTGGAACAGTAACAGATGTCATTACTTCTGGCTTGCATAATTTGAAAAAGTTTTTTTTTCTTTGGCTCGTGGTAGTGCTCCTGAGAACATTTTCACATGAAAATTCTATTAAAAATATTGAAGAACATCATGATATCCTTCAGCAGAAAAACGTACTTTGCTGCCCTAGTCTTCCTTGCTTGCTTCAGCTATTTCCATGCTCAGTGAGTACCAAGCAAATGAAGCATGTTCACAGTTCTTGTTTGCATAACATGGCATCTTGGAAGGTCAGGCATGCCTCCTCCTTCATGCCTGAACTATACTGTCTCAGGCCAATGAGACACATTGGGTCATGAGCACAGCCAGGATTCTTTCCAAGGGGGAAGGGAAAGGCCCATACCATTAGCTTACAAACCTACGTTTAAGTTGCTTAACACTATTTTTACTGACTGTCCTAGAGTCCTCAGAATTAAATAATATTTTTAAACGCCCTTCATTCTTCATATTAATATTTGACATGTTTCCTTCCTTTTTCAATTTTGATTTTTTAAAAATCCTGGAAGCCAGATGCATGGCTTCCCCCCACTGGCATCCAGTCATGGAGTTAAACCTATACAGCAGTGTACTTACTGTTGAAGTTCCAATTGCAAAAGCAACTATGTCAGTCAGTGATGTAACTGTTATTGAGACACCTGCTTGTCGTAAAGTTCGGCCTAATCTCTCTGGAACACTAGTACACTTGTCTTCTTTGCTCACATTTTCCAAACACTAAACATGAAAAGAAAGTAAAACTATTATATAATATAATGAAATATTTTTCACGAACAAAACAATAAAGCAAAAACAGCGATATACAGGTGAAAGAACTAAGAGAAAGAAAAACACATATTTTCATATTTAGAAATTAGTAACATCCCTTGAAGGTTACTTTAATTTGTACAGGCAGCTTTCCATCTGGTGTTAGATACAGGACCCTTGAAGCTAAGTACAGATGGCCTAAATATAGCACATATGGATCTGTGAACCCACAGGGTCCAATGGCTGAGGACTCTGAAATACTATGTCAAGATTCCTCCAGAGTACTAAATATAGGGTAGCTAGTCGAATGTGGACTTAATAAGAAAAGCCACCTGAATGGTCAAGGTTTTGAAGATATATTATCCATTCCCACAGAGATAAAGTACTCAATGGCAGGTCAGGAGACAGCTACTCCATCTCACTTTATAACACGCTGTCAACGCCTCCAAAGAAAATATATCAGATGCTGAATGTTGCACTTGTTTTCAAGAGAGGAGACAGAAGTTAAATGTGAGACCTAACTGCTATATAGGAAGGCCATCAATGTGGTATACAACATATTTTTAAATCATAAATACTGAACTATATAATACAACTCTGTACTTATCAGTAGACAGTCAGGATGGATTCTAAAAAGGAAGGTCAAACATTAATACTGTAAAATAATTTAATAAAAATTCATAATAACCAAATTGTATTTTAGAACAGTTAACAGCACTCACTTACTATAAAAACCTGGCACAACTGACAATAGTACTCTTAAATGTTACCTGCATTATAACAAATGAGTTGTCCACTCCAACTCCTAGCAAGAGGAATGGTAAAATTGGGTGAACTGGTCCCCAGAAGAATCCCATGTAGAAGCATAGTCCATATGACGCCAAAATGGACTGGCCCACCACTGACACTCCAAGCAGAGACAAATATACCTTCATGACAAAAAACAGATACAGCAGATTAAATGATAGTATAACATTACAAGACAAACAAATCTCAAAAACTTGCCAGTTTTACACCAGTCATACATGATCTGAGGTAGTGCTGTGTCCTTCAAGAAATATATTTCCATAATTACTTCCACAGAGCAGTCTCAATTTTGAGGAGCTGATAACCGCTGAGCTGGTCAAGAAATACCATGAGTCTCATGGAATCCAAAGCTTCATTACTGTGTTCACAAGCACCTGCCACTGAAGTATTTGATCCTGCTGAATCCAATCCATATCATCACATCCTACATCCTTAAGATCACCCATCCATACTTATATCTCCCAAGTGGTCTCCTTCTTCAGGTGTCCACACTAAAATTTGTCACGCATTTCTCACCTCCCCAAACATGTTACATATATTGGCCAATTCTTCTTACTTAATTTGATGGCTTTAACAATATATGGTGACAAGGAAAAATATAAGTATGAAGATTCTAATTATGTAATTTTCTCCATCTTCAAATATCTTCTTTCCTCTTAGGTCTAAATATTCTCCACATCACTCTGCTCACCCTCGGTCACCTCAGACTGTCGTCTCCTGGGTTGTGACACTATGGACTCTTGTTGGTGGATACTCATTTTGTTGGAGGAGCATGCCATTTCCATCCTCACTGAAATTTCAGTATCTGCCTACAAAACTACATGGATTCGCAGCACAAAATATCACAATTACAACCACCACCACTACAGAAATTTTGAATCCTATATATCTACAATCCATTTTCTTCCCTTAATATGAGATATATTTTACACCCACTCACAAAAGAAATTACACATTAGCTTATGCATAAATAGCACCTTGGCCGAGGGTGATTCTTCGGTACTGAAACTCAACACAGACTGATTTAAAGGTTAATGAATTTGCAATAATAAAACAAAGTCTTATTAAAATTGTCATTTATACATGGAACAAACAAGTTCCACAATTGCATAAATTTAAACATTCTGTATCATACAAAATTAAGTGGTTAGCCCATTGACTTAACATTTCGGTGGTCCTGTGTTTGATTCTCAGCCCAGAAAGCAATTATCTCAAACTTCCCCAGTGCTACTTACCTGCTGACTCTTTGGCAGAAAAGGATTCAGACTAAGCAAGACAGTTTCTTGAGTTTACAAAAGGAATATACACTCACCCTTTGTTCCACCACGTTGAAACGGCCCAACATAACCACAACATAGACTATTATAAGTGTGAAACCAGCAAAAAGAACTGTCTGGTTATTTTCCAAAACTTGATGCAAGAAATCCAAGTAGCTGCAAAACATCACAAGACATTCTATGTCATGGCGGTACTGGTTGTATTTCACCTACTTTTACTAGATATGACATGAATTTTGGGATGATGATGATAACAGCAATGGTGAGAATGACTTATATCACTTAACATCCTAAGTCAAGCCAATACTACCTAACCTACAATATATTAGGCATGAATCTCAAAGAGTGGAATATTATTCATGGATGATTATGATAATAAATGGAGATGAAGGTAACAGCAGTGAAGTAGAGTGATTTACCTTCGGTACACAATTACTATAAATCAGGTACACCAGAAAGACTATAAATATTTGGAACTGGCTCTCCTATAGCTACATTAATTTTGTATTTTATTCTTCTGACAACTCACCTATTGATTAGAGAAGCATGGCTATTCATACAAAATCAGCATTAACAATATACCAAAGGTGTATCATGGAAATTTTGCAGCTGGGCTACTGTTACCATTCACTGTATTGTATTCATTAGCATTCATCGATCCTTTCGGGTACATGATCATTGGATATAGAAATTGTCAGCAGATTACACTGATATTTACATAAGATTGTCTTAACATAAAATAAATAACAAATAAAATATATATAAGAAACCAATGCATGCAACTAAAATACGAAGCTATAATTACTGGGATACCCCAAGGTCAAATTTATTATTCCTATCAAGATACTCTTCAATTGAATTCATAGTTTATGTGAATTAAAATCTGGAAAGCAATTTAGAATATTACGTTTTTTATGGCAATTTAATAACCTAGATGATGTTTGAATTCTATGAACTAAGATATGACACACTTCCTTCTACATTATGCTGTTTCTTCAACATTTATGAGCATTAATTGATTTACATTTATTGTAAATCAAATGAACAACAGTGGAAGTACATTTTCCTTCAGAACAGAATTTTATATTTCATCATGACTACATCATGGAGCAATTGCACATTTAACTGTTCCACACACACATATAGTAAAACCATCTACATTTCTGTTACTGTCCAACTGACAACCTATGCAAACTAAAGTTTCTAACTTGTTCAACTATATTATTATTTACTATTATTTGTGTCCAGATCACTTATTTTCCTTCCATGGCCAAGATTTTTGTCTTTGATATAAAAACAGTTAAATCATACTTTGAGGCCAACATCACATAATTGATGCAGGGATTTTTTGAGAAAGTCCACTTTCATTCACATGTATACTTGTTATGAACAATTTTTTCTGCAACCCACAATTCTGTAAATATTCTACACATATGCTCTGACTTACCTACGTGTTGATACTGCATAGATCTTCACCCCCGGAGGAAGAGATCTGTTTGAGAACAGTACATTTTGAATGAATTCCAGTTCCCATTCTGGGGACCACCTGTTTGTCTGAAATAAATAAATACTACTTCACTAATATGCTCCTATCTCTTTGTATTGGCAGAACAGTGTAATATAATTTCAGCTACAACGAAATGTGTAAACTGAAAACCACCCGAACTACAAAACCTGATTTAAGATTCCTTTGTTAACATGCCCATAAGAGTTGGTAACATCATTATGATCATATTTATCAACAAATAAAAAATTTGTGAACATGTAATTGCTCACAGTATCAACATCTCTCTACCTAACAATCATGGTTCACTGAAAAAACTAAAACTTAGTAGCAGAATTTGAAAGTTCAGCACCACTACTACTAAAGGCCCTACTAAGTTATGATCCACAGCTAATTTCATCCACCTACCAGCCGTGAACCAACGTTCACAAGATGCATATTAATTGGTGGCAGTGAATGATGCTTAATTTTCCCCTTTTAAAAAGTTCATATGGCTACTGCACTGTGGCTTCTAACTTTCAATGGCACTTTATTATTACGTTTAATCAACAGCATTACCTTATCAACTGGGAATACCGGCACAATTAATTATTAAGTCACAGTTCAATAAATAACTGACTGGGATATGTATATCAGTGTACCAATTGATATTGTGATGTATTTGCGCTATGCAGGACACCCCCTCCCCCACCAGTGGTGACATAACAGCATCAGAGCGCTGTCACTGCTACAGAAACAGGCCAGTCAACACTCTGCCCCCCTCCCCCGCGGTGACGTAACAGCACTTCCTACTGTGACATAACAGAGGACACCGCTGTTACACGAGGCAACAGGGAACGGTATAAAAAGCTGGCTGAGCAGTATGTGATGAGTGTGTGAGATCAAGAGTGACACAGTGCGGATCATGAGGTTGCCAAGTGCAGCAGAAGTCTAGCAGTTGCTGAGAGAAGTGGATGTAATTGTGCTACTGCCAATGGCAGTAATTGTAATTGTGAATTGTGTGAGAGCGAGTGTTCAATAAATTCACTACATCCAAGACGGCATGAAGTTATTTTTCACGTTACCATATCCAACACGTGACAATATATTAAATCACAGTCACACTACATGTTTCAGTCCTACAACCATTTTCAGGTGTGAATAAACACTAGCCATTTCCTGGCAACAGATTTAATACAGTGGAGATTCTTCAGCTTCCCACACTCAGGTCCTCTGGTCACAGCCACCCATGCAGAACTCAACTAACTGGGTACAGAGTACTTCTTCATAAGCTAATACTTGTTCTGTTGTCAAGAAATTTCCTACCTTTTATGGAACCTGAAGGTTGATAATCGTTTCCATATGAGCCTGCAGTTGAACTAATACCCTGTTTAACGTTTCACAACATGCTAGCTTTATATGGCAAGGAGTTGTTACTCTTGCCACCTGACACCCAAGCTGGAGAATCATCAATCCTTCCGGCTTGCCAGAATTTCAGCCAACTACTCTCCATCTCTGGAAACTACTGCAATATGTGGATGCAGAGTGTTGCAATGAGAAGGGACCCCTTTAACATGGTCTTGCAAAATAGGGTGAGTTATAACTCAAAATATTCAACAATTAATCAGTGTAATTCATTATGAAAACATTAAATCTTAAACTTTCAGCATATGATATCACTAAAAGATAAATGGTGAAACTTTAAGTATTTGGTAAGGTTAACTATTTAACAAGTCCCAGCATTCAGTTTTTCTCTCACCTTCTTTAGAATCCAGCTGAGAATAGTTGCTTTTGCTCCAATTATATTTCCTTGGCTATCCCACTTAATACCAGATAATAGCGGCTCCACTTTTTCAAGGACATTTGAGAACTTCCCATGTGACATCTTCCTGTAAACAATCATCAGCACTTGCACAAGGCTCACTATATACATTACCAACTGCAACTATGCTCTATACCGTATACCTCATCCATTCATTAAATTGTGTAGATTACAACACCAAACTGCTTCAGGAGTACATCACTTCAGAGGAGGATACTAGCTCTATCATCAAGGTAAGTACAGAGGCAGCGCGTTCTTCTAAAATATCAAACTTTTCTTCCAAAATATGGTATCACTCTCAAAACACTGTACAATGTTTCAATTTGAAATGAAAACCTTAATTATCATATCTCACAAAGCATAATTCAATATAAAGTTATGCTGGGCTGGAAAATCCTGACTGTGGTCTTTCACAGTTCCTGTGTATCCCTCTGGGCAAATGCCAGGATATTACTAAGATCAGTGACAGCTTCCTTCCAAATGTTTTCCAATTCATCATTCATCTGTCATCCTACCATTCAAAATCCTGCAAAGATGCTCACAGCATATAAAAAAACAACAAAAACCTATGGAGGTCATGATGCTAGAATCAAGAAGACACTGAATAGTGATAATTTTTCATACTAACAAACTGACTCCATGAAACAAAGTCTTTCTTGAGAAGCTAACAGCCCCTAAGCTAGTCATGAGATTGTCTGCATTTAACAGGACACAAAGGTCCACTGGTGTTCACAAAAACCTGCTACCCTCAGTCTGTTCTTCCTTTAATGTCAGAAGTCAAGGTTCACACCCATACAAAACTGCAGGAAAAGTTATAGTCTGTATGTTTCTAATCTTTATGCTTTTAGACAGCAAATGAGGAAAAAAAAAAAAGGTTCTGAATTGAATGGTAGCAAACTTTCCTCAGATTTAATGTGCTCTTAATTTTCTCATGTATCAAATTTTGGTGTGTTACTGACATTACCAAATACATGAACTTTCCCACATTTTCAATGGATCTATTAACTACCTTTATGTTATGATTTTCTCCTGTATCCCAGTAATCAAGGCATCAACACGTATTAAGTTTTCTCTATGTTTACTTCCAGACCAAGCTTTGTGCATCATCTATTATTGTGAACAGAACACACCATTTTTGAGACTGAATATTTTCTTATCCTCTTCTGAAGAACTGGATGTGCAGCTTCTCCATCTGGGATCCATTACAAAGGAGCTCATCTCACTCACTGAACCAGTGATCCAACTAAACTGAAATTTACGAGTGCACTGGGCAATACCTCCACTTCCCCCATATGCTTGTATACAACCATGATCAGTTGATCATCCTAATATCTGGCGAAGAGTACAGATTCTGCAGCTCCTCATTATGTAATTTTCTCAATAATCCCATTATTTCGTCCCTCTTAGCCAAATATTCTCACAGGAACTTTTCTTTTTCACACAGAGTCACATCTAAGAGTGAGAGAATAACATCAGCTTGATGTACTCAAGTTATATATAAAAAGTTAATATTGAATCCCAGATTGAAAGTGGAAGGACCAAGCCAATGGCGTAGCTGAACCAAGATGGCTAGAAACAGTGTAATATTACAAATCTGCAGCATGAAAGGAATTTGGATTTGCAAGGAGACTGTGGCCACACCTAGATGCTACCTATTTAATCCACAAAGACAAGGATAGAATATAATTGTATAATACATATAAATGTAGTTAAGATGTAAGAGTAAAAAAGTAAAAGTAAAGCTATCCCTGTAACAGGCCATGAAGGCCCATAGGGTTGTGAGATGTTGAGAGTCCCACATTATCTAGACAATCGGCTCAAATATGGCGTTAAGGTTGTCAGCCTTACGCGCCGGCCGCGCTTTACTCCCAAGAATATTCCTGGTACTTATTTCTGTTAGAGGCTGAGTGAACCCCAGGGCCATAGTGTGGCTGGAAGGATTAGGTCAATTGAAAATAATCCAATGACCTCATCGGGACTTTAACCCGCGACCTTCTAGTTAAGATGAAAAAGTAAATGACAGAGTTTCAGAATATTTATCTGTATTCTATGGCATACTGTGGTATAACATGATTCCACTCCTGCAGAAAATAAAACAAAATGTAAGAACACATGTCCCCTTCATTAAATAATTATTCAGGGAAAAAATATGGTGTTAGGGTGTGGACTGGATTAATTTGGCTTCAACACAGTACTGAACCTTCAAGTTCCATAAAAGTTGGGTAGCCTGACACCAAGCTGACAGATGATTTGCTTCCTAGGAGTTAGCAAGCATTACGGTTCATATGTGTATTCAAATTATTTGGTATATCCATTCAACTAATTTAACTTCCAGTATTGCAGTAATTCATATTAAACTTCAAATATTCACTTATTAAATACAATGTTCTATGTCATTATTAAAAACAATTTGAACAAGATCCTCTACAATGTCTTCCACATTTGAACTGGATAAACGACAAACAGGCGTATTCATTCATTGCATTACACACATCACTTGTATTTGGAAGGCATTTTATTCAGCGTATATGAACAGATTTTTCACAATTTCGTTAAAATCCTGCAATTTCCAACCCCTTCCCTCCAACCTCAATAGCTATAATTATCTTCACAAGTCACATTTAATACTAAACTCAGCTGCTGAAAAGGTATTTTAAATATCCTAACAATATACATTTTTTACTGCATACATGTACATTCGACATGTTCTGGATTCCAGTGAACAAAATATGGCAATAATAGAAATGTTGTAGTTAAAAATACGGCTGGTTACCTGAAACACTACTGAGGAAAAAGAGAACATCTGATATACATACGTGCCGTTTACAGCATTCGTTATGTTCTTTATGATGGCTTCTTGATCCAATTTAAAGACAGCGTCCATTGTGCCATTTGATGTCCAAATTCTTAAGACGGACTGATAAATACAATTGTCTTGGAATTCGTAGTCCTTCATATATTCATGTATCTCCTCTGTCACTTCACTTTCTTTAGCATCTGGAAACCATGTCAAGTACCTGAAACAAGGTTCAACATTTTAATTTAAGTATCACATAATCTTTACAAGTAATAGAGAAAAGGCTGATCTTCAATTTCTTGCAGATGAGAAGCTGAAATGGTGGGCTGGAAAGACAGATACACATATCCATGCACACATACAGACAGCAAGGTGATCTCACAAATCTACTTTCTCTCTTTAAAGAAGGAAGATAAGCTAAATACAATGCTTATGAAAAAGACAGAAAATGAAACAATCTAAGAGAGAAACTTTAAATGGGATAATGAAATGACAAACAGGGCCATATAAAATCTCACTGATGTCATTAGGTCTAGTATACCTTCTGACCTGTTCCTTAGTATGCAGAAATGCATTTGAATTAAAAAATGTATGGAGCCTACACAAACGCTGTTATGAACTGAACTGTATGTTTCATTCACTAACAATTGCTTGCCTGTCATTATGTTATGGCTTGGATGCCCGTATTGTCTGATTATGTGCATAATAGTAGTTCAGCCTGTTTAGACAACAATGCAATGTACTTCTTTTTTTAGAATACTTTCCTTTCTTGAAAAAGGTACTCTTATGAAATCCTCTATATCAATTTTGAACCAGATGACCATTTTTTATTAAATTTTGTATGAATGTTAGGCCATTTAAGGCTACCACCTCCTCATACTTCTTATTTTCCCAGAGTCAGTAAATAACAACATACAGGATGCATGAACTAATGAAACCTGAACAATGAAATGTGGTGCTTAATATACAGTCTTAAAATGATGCATCTACAGTAAAGTAAGTAAATGTATCCCTGTAACAGGCTGTGGAGGCCCATAGGGTTGTGAGATGTTGAGGTTCCAACATTTTCTAGACAATTGGCTCACAGATGGTGGTAAGGTTGTCAGTCATACATGCCGGCCACCCTTCACCCCCAAGAATATTCCTGGTACTCATTTCTGTTAGAGGTTGGGTTGACTCCAGGGCCATAGTGCTGCTGGAAGGATTAAGTAAATTGAAAAAATCCACCTCATCAGGATTTGATCCCGCAACCTTCCAGCTTGTAGCATAGTGCCTCAACCAACTACGCTACCATGTGCACCCGCATCTACAGTAACAGATATTAACAGTTGTTTACTTAATTTCTGTCTCATGCAAAACAGCAAAATGGCGGTTGCATGGAATCTGGGGGGAAAGAGGGGGAACTGCATGCACGTAATTTTGAATTGCTATAGAATATTATTCTTCGAATTCTCCAAATTTTACAATATTTGTCAACAAAGGAAATTTAACTGATGTTATCATGTATAACCAACAAAGCCACATCTCTAAAAGAAAAATGTAGAGCATACCCACCCATGTGCGGCAATGGAATGAAAAAATATTTTGATTCAAACAGGCAGATTTCATAAGTACACAACATAGGGATGGTGCAGTCAGTATAGAAACTGGTTACAGGTTGGCCGATCAACTGGTCGGCGTTTGAATCTCGGTAGGAGCAAGAATTTCCTATTCTCTATGTCGTCCAGACAGGTTCTCGGGCCCACCTGGTTTCCTATTCAATGGGTACTAGGGGATGTTTCCTCGGGGTAAAGCGGCCGCAACGTGAAGCTGACCACTCACCTCCAACTAGTGCTGAACTTTGCTATCTTCTGCTACATTACAGTATAATGTTCAGCTGTTTATGACTTCTCGGAGCTTCAAATTTGACGCGTGTACAATTACCCACTGCATGCCAATAAACCACTCTCCCCTATATTTATCTCTGGGTTTGACAGAGATAATTAATGACCTACTGAACCTAGGTATGTGGAATTTGCTATGGAGATAGATCATACACAACCTATAAAGTCGGAAATCCTGTTTGTATTGTTTTATAAGTTAACGTAATCAAGGCAAGTTTGCATCATATATAATACTAAAAGGTCTCTGGTGTGACATCATTGTTTTGAATGTTCACGCCCCAACAGAAGATAAAATTGATGACATAAAGGACAGATTCTATGAAGAACTAGAACATGTATTTGATAAATTCCTGAAGTACCCTATGAAAATTTTGTTATGAGATTTCAATGCCAAAGTAGGGAGGGAAGACATTTTCAAACCAAAGATTGGGAATGAGAGTTTGCATGAAATTAGTAATGATAATGGAGTTAGAGTAGTAAACTTTGCCACATCAAAAAATTTTACTGTCAAAAGTACAATGTTCCCACATCGTAACATCCATAAATTTACTTGGACATCTCCTGATGGGAAGACACACAATCAAATCGACAATATTTTGATAGACAGAAGACGGCACTCAAGTATACTTGATGTCCGATCATTCAGGGCAGCTTATTGTGATACTGACCACTACCTGGTGGTGGCAAAGGTTAGGGAAAGACTGGCAGTGAGCAAAAAACAACACACAGAGTTCATATGGAGAGGTTCAATCTCAAGAAATTAAACGAGGTAAAGAGTAAAGAGCAGTATCGTGTTGAAATCTCAAATAGGTTCAAGGATTTGGAAAACTTGGACACTGAGGTGGATGTTAACAAAGCTTGGGAAACTATTAGAGAGAATATAAAAATGTCTGCCAAAGAGAGTCTATGTTATTATGAACCGAAGAAGCATAAGCCATGGTTCGATGAAGGATGCTCAAAATTATTAGATCAAAGAAAGCAAGCCAAATTGCAATGGTTACAGGATCCAAGCAAAATAAATTGGGATAATCTGAACAATATAAGACGTGAAACCAGCAGGCATTTCAGGAACAAAAAGAGGGAATATCTGAAAGACAAAATTGATGAGTTTGCAATGAACAGTAAGAACAAGAACATTAGAGACCTGTATAGCGGAATAAATTACTTTAAGAGGGGTTACCAGTCTGTGGAAATAAATTAATTTTTGTACTGGACAAATACGAACCAAAAGTAAATTCTATCGAATTCTTTCCATGTAGATCATCCAGCATAACAAACTCCGTGATTTTAGTCCGCAAGCGAACCATACCGACCGAGCGACCGCCATCCAACATGACATCGAAATCCATCCAGCAGTTTCGAACATGACATCCATATGCGAGCGCATTCAGTGTAAAGAACGCACGAAAACGAAGGGAAGCAGCGGTTCATGTTTTATTTATCTTCTATTTATGGCTTATTTAACGACGCTGTCAGTAGCTCAGAGTACATAGTGTCGGGTGGTATGATGATTTATGGAAGGATGTGAGATGAAAAAACTGTCACGAGTTTATGGCTCCGTGATTACTAACAACGGGTTCTGGATTCGATGATTGGATGACTGGATTTACTGACACCTTCTTGTACAATCGCTCTTAATCACAATCAATTACAACAGCTCACAATAAATGACTGCCTAAGACTCGCTCAATCCTCGTTCTCTTTCTCTTTCTGATTTGAGTCTGAGTCTCAGTCTTATGTTACGATTGATGGTCAGTCGGCCAGTCCCATCTGGTGCTTAAGACTAGATCTGTATTACTTTCAGACAGTTGCGGGTTTGTTGATGTGGGGCGCTCTCTCTGACGAGAGGACAGATCTGTCGTCTGCAATTGCTTTGGGCCCTCGCCAGCGCATTCTCGGGTCCGAGTCCCGTGGGACTAGCGACCATATTTTACTGTCTCAGATTCGAGACTTCCCTTTTCGTCGCCTCGTACGAAGCGCAGGGCTACGATGGAGGTATTCAACACCGCTTCCACACAGGATATTTTATTTGATCCGGTTCTGTACCACTTACATTGTCTCAATGTGGACCCATACAAAACATTACCCAGCAATGGCTATATGCGAACAGAAAACACCTCTCTTTTGTCAATAATGCGTGTTACTGGCCCGTTACCTAGCAATGGTTCTAATTGTAACAGTATTATCCCGGCGCCGTCTGAAGGGACTGAGAAGAATTACGAAAATCGTCAGTCGGGATAGTAGGTGTCCCGGTTAAGATTCGAACCGGACACCTCCCAAACAGAAGTCAGAAGCGTCACCGTCTGAGCCAGCTTGCCCGGTTAGCATACTTTCTACCTAAACCAAACCTTACAGCCGATTTTTTATTTAAGAGTTTATTTACCGACGCTGTGAATACGCTGAGACAGTACAGACTCGAATGGTTGACTAATTATAAAATAATGAAGTGGAAAGAATAGGGAAGGAAGCGATCGTGTCCTAAATTTCAGGTACTGTCCTTGAATCCGCCTGAAGGGACTAAGGGAAACCATGAAAAACCTAAGGTAGGACAGCCGTTCTTCGGAGATTTGAAACCGGGACCTCCCGAATATGAAGTGTGCTAATCGCTTGGCCAAACATTCAGAATTTCACTTCCAATGCTGCGTGAGCGCTCCAGGAAGGCACTCCTATAATTAAGATGATCGTAACTGGACCCAACTGTGACCGAACAAGGCACTGGTCTGTTCACTTTGATGGTGCAGTCAGTGGACTACGGCGCTACCAGCGATCTCTTGCGCTGCAAGCAAAACTTCAGTCGCGGTATTTATAGCAGACACATAACCTTCCCTCAACACAGTTCAAAACCTGTAGATCACATAGGGCAAAGCTCTTCTTGATAAGCTCCCTAGTTCCTCAGTTGGACAAGCAATTCCCTGCACTTCATTCTACTCTACAATTAACTTCCGTATTCACAAGAGCCAGTCATTTTGTCCTATCCTGAGCCAACTGAATTACGACCACACTATCAAGCAGACTGTACAAGGTGCGACGATTTAATTCCCGGAATGGCCCTGTGAAAGCAAAATTTGCTTACGTGTGCAGTAGCGGCTGCTGTCGCCTTCGAAACACTCTCTTTGTGAAGCTATGCACTTCGTAAGACGATGGTACCACTGCCGGAAAGTCTCGAAAATCGTTTTCCGGAATACCTCGTAGTAACGTTGTCACGTTGCGTTGGGCGTCAGGAATATCAGCAAATCTTTGTCCCTTCAGGGCATTTTTTTTTTTTTTTTTTTTTTTTGGAAAGAGTTAAAAATTGCAGGGGGCTAAATCAGGTGAATATGGTGGAAGGTCCAATTTT